TCAAAAGCTCCGGTTCTTTGGATGATGAGTGAGAATGTGTCACCATGCCTGCATTGATATTCTGTTTCCTCAGAAATCTCATGGCCCTGTTGCCAAATGGTGCACGTTGTGTACAAGTTGAGTGGCGGGCAGTCATATTGCCGGTTAATGGCTGCCAGGAACTGGGCACGCAAGACTTGTTGTGAAAGAATTGCGGCTGTGACATGTGGACGATTGTTCATGACTCCATCATCATATGTCGTGATCAGAGTGGAGCACTCCTGATGCTGAAGCAATTGATGAACAATAATATGGAGTTGCCCAGGAACATGATCATAGACGATGGCAAAGTCTACATCAATGTGTGGGTCCAAAAGGTCTAGCCAGATGCGCTGAAGCTGGCTTTCCCACTGATGGAAGTTGTCGCCCAAGGTTGTAAGCCGTTCTTCATCGTTGACTCTAATCCGACCAGAGTGTAGAAACCATGTGTGAACATGCAGGAGACGCTCGAGATGCGCAGGCCCAGTGCGAGCATGGACATCCCAATGCCTGAAAAGTTCACGTGTGAAGTCAGTCTGATCATCGATGTTCGGAATTGCCGCAGGCATGTCATTGGGCACTGGGTCAGAGGTGGTAAACCACTGTGGCACTGTAATGTGCTCATTCCCAATGTGCTGAACTATCACTGGTGGGTGGATGTTCAAAATTATTCCATTCCCAGCTTGAAGTGGGACAGGCTCATCAGGCTGGAATGCACGAGCATCATGTTGCAACTCACATCTGCGATCAATGCAGATCCTGCCCAGGCGGCAAAGGTCACGAACACAGAAGGCATTTGTTGGTGATTGAAGAACTGCCGCAACATAGTTGAGTCCTGTATGTCGATCAGTGAGAAATCTGATAGTGACCAGGGCTGGCACAGCTGGGTACAATACATCTTGATAAACAATCAAATGTCCAATTGTCCAGCTTGTGTCATGCTGCGGTGGCTCTGGATAAACAATTGCAAAATGAACTGGTCTCGCCATCTGAATCTTGTCACGCCAAAGATGTACGATGTCAGAGATCCATAGGTGCACTTGTTGATCAAGGCGCAGAATCCTGCTTTCTTCGGAAACTTGTTCATGGGAGCCGCTTACAAACCAGGTTGTCAAGAAGGCTATAGGGCCTTCTTCTTCGCACTCAACTGCAGATCGGTGCACAAAATCATGGTGGAGAGCTTGAAACCATGACGGCCGAGGCTCCTCTTGCGCTAACCGACGATGATTTGGAAAATGGCTTGGGGAAGCTCGCTCAAAGCTAGTTGCATTCTCCTGTGCACCAAAATGTTGATGTGTTTTGCATCTAGTGAAAGAAAGATCCAGAGAGGTGCTAACCTGCATCAAAGCGTTCACATCCGCAATTTCCTGCTCAGCTTCGATCTCTGTGTGGAAGTCATCCGGGTCAGGATTGGTGTGATATCGATGGACAATCTGTCCATGATTCAATCCATGCTGACATGCCCTGATTGCAAAATAAGTTGGAATCTCTGGTTGCGCAAAGGGGGGAACGGCAACCCTCACATAATCACCATGAGATAACTCCAAATTTACACTATTCTGGTGTGGGACAAGTTGCCCATGATGCCAGAGCAGACATCTGTCTTGCCGAAGCTTACAGTACGCTGCAACACCAGTGATCTTGAGGAGCAGAGACCTATGTATAGGCGTTGGGATCATTGCAGTGTACCGGTCAATCTCAATGACCGAATCAAAGTTGGATCCATGAATTTCAACATCTATAAGGATGGCCCTGCGATTGTCTCCAAACCTGATGTCCTCGTGGGCAAGCAGGATGAGCGGTTGAACACGTGCGGCATGTAGATCGCTTGGCACTGGATTGATGTCATAAATGCTCGCTACATCGTGGTGTCGATATCCGAGCAAACGTCTGGTTTCAATAAAAGCAGCAGCTGGTGGTCTGGTGCGCACCCTCCCACTTGCAATATTTGAACGCAGATCGTATACTTGCACTGATTGCCAGTCAGCCTGTTCCGACACTGAGGATGGTGATGTGGGCTCATGTGTGTGCAAGTCAGAGTCACTTTCAGGGCTGGATTGCGGCTGCCGCACTTGGTGAGGTCGACGTGCCATAAAAGAAGTGCAGTCATCTGGTACATCATTGTCGAGACTAAAGAAAACCTCCTGATTGATCGTCTCAAACCTGTCATGGTGAGGCTCAAATCGGGGTGGAAAATACGATTCAAAAATCTCGGCCAAGGGCACAAACTTGACTTTCTTGCAAATGTCAATCTTTGAATTGGTTCTCAATGATGAAGGTCGGTCAAAATTGGCATCATTGGATTGGGCAGGCCTGTAAGCAGGCTGCACTCCATTGCCAAGCACTTCATTCCTCAGGCATGTTGCACTCGCCAATGCCGATGGTTCAGAAAGAAAGGTTGGCTCCCAATGTATGCTGTGGCATCGAATCATGAAACGAATGGGATCAAAAGCGAGGTCCGGCTTGCATGCTGCACCGACATCTTGGGGTCGATAGGCATCAGCAAACTCGGGCGCCTCTTGATGTAAAACTGGCACACGTAGCCTGTTCCACTGGCTCGGACACAGATCTGCGCTGCCGATGTTCACGAGGGTGGCGATGAGGCATGCTGCTCGCCCAATGCCGCCATTGGAGTGCCGAAGGGCTCCATAGAGCGAGGTCTTTTGCTCCTTCGGTCTGCATCGTCGTCTGAGTTGATCTCCATAGTTTCGGATGCTTCTGCAGCTGCAGCTATGCTCTGTTGCAAGCTCTCTTGCACTTGTTGCACAAGTGCATTGGCTTCGGCTTCGAAGGCAGCTCCATTGTCCCCATCTGCTGTCTCTCGGCCTGTGTCGCCAGCTTCGGTAGAGGTTGGTGCACCAACTTCTGCTGCCTGCTTGTTGAGTTGCTGCAGTTGCCTTCTGGCTGCAGTCAATTCCTGCTGGGCATGTAGTAGTTGATCTCCATATTCCTTCTGCTGATCTTTGAAGAGCTGCAGCTGCTTTTGCCAGCTGTTGACTGAATCGCGCAAATGCTTCAACCAATTTTGTCGGTGTGCGGTTCTGGCATCCTTCACTGAAGCCAGATGTCGGGCAGCTTTTCCGACCTGGTTGGATGCTCGATTGAGGTCTTTGGATAGGGCTTTGGAGGTCGCTTTGTCGGCCTTGTCCACTGCGTTTTTGATATCGTCCGGGGCCTTTGCAAGGTCCGGATAGGACTTCCGAACTGCTGCAAGTAACTCCGCGCCTGCTTGAGCTGTTGCAGATAGTGTCGGTGGAATTGGCTCTTGTTGAGAGCTGGCTGGAGCTTCTGGAGAGGGCCATGGTGGGATGGCTGCTGCTTGAGCGGGCTGTGACAACTGCTCGCTGCTCGCGGCACCTTTGCTTCCTTTTCCTTTGCCTCCTCCTTTGCGGGCTCGTGCGCTCTCGCTTCGATCTGCCTGATTCCAGGGCCTCGTTCGCCCTTTCTTCTGCTTCGTCTTCTGGTTGTAGCCCCAGTCCCATTGCGACTGTTGGGCAACTGCTCGTGGCGACTTCGGAGCATTGGAATGCGGCTGTCCGCTGCTCCAGTGCTGCTGGCATGTGGGACAGAACGTATGTCGTTTCCCGTTCAGTCTTCCGCATGCACATCGCCATGGGTATGACTCTTGTGCTGCCATTTGTACTCGTTCCAGGAAGCCGATGTCCTTGGAATGATGTCTGGCCAAAATTGATGTGATTCTGGCTAGTTGCGTAGTGGTCAATTTCCTTTGACCTTTGCGATGCTGATGCCAATGTGCACGAGCAGTGGCTCGCAATCGCCTGTCTCTCCTCCTTGATGTTTGTGTAGCCGTGGTCGAACTGCACGAAATTCACCAAAAATGAAATGCACAAAATAAGGAAATTGGATTGCATCAAAGGTGGCTTCCTCCCGGTACAGCTCCAATGATGAGAAAGAGGGTATACGCACAGCAAAAGTAACCAGGAAAATCAACTGAACACAAATGCCGTGATGTCCACAATATCAAAGTGGTAGGTCAAGTCAATGACAGCTAGCACGATGAAAAGGAATACCCCAAATAAATAAACCCCAAGCAGTAGGTCAAGTGAATGACAGCTAGTGCAAATGGGAATATCGGTGTGAGGCCACCGCAGAACCAGGTGCTTAGGCGAGGTGATGAGATCCCTCCCGGGGACTCAGAGCACTTTCCGTAGTGCAACCAGGTCAGAAAAGCAGCCCGTGGGTCAGGTCAGCGAAGACCCACTCAGGTTAATGGCACCGCAAACTGGGAACGACGGGTGCTGGAGCCAGAACCTTATATTATGTATATATATATATACATACACATATTGCATTGCATTACATCACATCACATCACATTACATTACATTACATTACATTACATTACATGTATTGTGTAAGTATATGTATATGCATACACATTGCTGTGTAGACTGAACAACTAAATGGGTCTAGAGGATGGCCATGTTTTCTGCATATCGTTTCTGCCAGATTAGAATAGTAAGGCGAGTCTGACCATTGATATAATGATAGTACATGCCCTGGGCAAGTTGCATCGGCTGCTTAAATGTAAGAGAGACAAGGAGTGGAGCAGAGAAAAGGCGGTAAGTCAGACAGTTTGATGAAACAAAGATCTTCGCCAAATTACTTGAAAACCGATCATTAGGGAAGAAAAGATACAGTAATAATTTTCTCCGTAATATGGCTCAATATGGGTATGTTTATATACAATTTACACCATTTTCTTGTACCATTTTCTTGTGTAAGTTACTAGACCATAGTTTGATCAGAACTGGTACATTGTTGCGTGGCTGCTCTCTGGTAATTTAATTCAGCTATTAAAACCACCATTTTGAAACAATCAACCTAAATCCAAACAAAATCATTCATTTTCCGCCGCTATGTTAAACTACCAGTGGGTAACTATGATATGTTGGCCATGTGTTTTTTTGTCCCTCGCCTCCAGCGCTGCCGCGCCGCTGCCGCGCCGCTGCCGCGCCCAGGAAACGAAGTCACAGCAAGCGCAGGCGGAAGAGCCGAAGCCGAGGCGATTGTTTTCTGGATCCAGGTTCGGCCACAGGGGAAATATTGAAATTATGAATAGCAATGGATTGGTTTTCTTGGGAAAATCTTAACCGGAAACCCATGGGTTTTTACCATCAAATATATGGGTTTCCTGTAAATTTTCCCATCATCCAATTCTATGAGAATAGCAATGAATAGGAACTAAAGATTAAAATCCTAGGGGGTAGTTCCGAGTTCACATAGACCAGGCCAAGTCTACCGTTTTTTTGCAGAACGGGACCTCCTGGGAGTTTTCCCATGATTTAAGATATTTCAAGAGGTTTCGCTGCACTCCCAGATACCTTCTTACACAAGAATCTAACACAGGCCCTAAAAATTACTTGCATGCTCTTTGAAGGGTGGCCCCACAAATTACTTCCATACTCTTTGGAGGAGGACGAAACCAAAAAAAAGAAAAACCACATCGGAAAACAAAAAAAACCCGAAAAATTATTGGAAAAACAAAAACAACTCAAAAAACATTGGAAAAACTAAAGAAAACTTTGGAAAATCCAAAAACAAAAAAAAAACCAGACTCTATGGAGAGGGGGGGGGTCTAGACAAGCTGTTCCTGTCTTTCCTGCCTGCTGCACCGTTCCACCGTTCCACCGTTCGGTCTACCGGATTCGCAGGGACCGTTTTTTTCTAAGCAAGGTGTCACCAAAGGAATAAAACTATATGGGTATGGGTCAATACCTATAGATACATTTTTAGTGGGATGAACATCAATTTACCAACTATTTTGGGGTTCACTAGGGGTACAAGGTTTTGACCCATCCCCATATTGCATCTTTTCCTTGTAAAACAATATTGTATCTTTTTCAAGGAAACTTGGATAAAGGCATGCCGCACTGTTCTCAAGGAATACAATGGTCTCTTAAAGTGCAACTGCTTATTAAAGAATACCTTTTCAAAATAATGCTTGACTTTCACAAGGAATATTGTTCTTGTTCAAATGACTATTCGGTGAAGTCACACTGCACTTTCTTCCAGAAACATCACCCTCTTTCGAAGGGATTGCTCTATATATATATATACACACATATGAAAAGGTTCCCTGTAGTACAAGAACTTAATAAAAGCAAAACTCTTTCACAAGGACTGCTGTGTGTCCTGAAGGCTACTTTCTCAAAGGAATGCCACACACTCTTGAAAGCAATTCTGTGTATACATGTGAAACTATTAACATATTTCAAAAACATATTATATGGTGAATTATGTTATTTTAAACTGTTGTTTTTTCTCCAAATGAATGTTGTTTCTTTTGTCGAAGGAAGATTGCCGAACACCATTGTTCAAGCTAATATATTTCATGAAGTCATCAAGTTTAAAGGAATGCCGCACTCTTGAAAAAGTAATGTGTATCCTCGAAATTTATCTTAGAGAGACGCTACCCTTATCTGAAATAGTACTATCTCTATGGAAGACATACCATATTTGTTCCAAAATACATGAAGACATGGTGCACTCTTTCTAGGAATGCTGTGCACATCTCAGGGAGCTGTAATGATACACTTTATCAGAGGAATGTTGCCCTCTCTGTAGAAGAATGTTGCATGGAGGTATGCCACAACTTCCTTAGGGAATGCCACATTCTTTTAAGTGATGACTGATGAGAAGCATTCCTTACAAAATGTTCCATATCTCTTTAAGATACAGGGAACTCTGTCAGGAAGATGCAGTACTGCTTGGAAACAAAATGAAATCTCCTGTCAATCAAAACTGCTGTTTCCTCTTGTTCATGCTTTGCTATAAAGACATGCAGCATAGAAGCAAACACCACCCTATCGTTGAGCGTGGCGCAACTGGTCAAAATTGAATTCCATTTCTCTTTGATATTCATTGATTTCATATACTGCTATATTTCATAGCAAAAGTGGCTGCATTACAGCATATTTCTACCAAACTGAATTTTCCCAGCTGATTGAGAGGTTTACTTTCAGGTCCTTGTAGTTTATTTTTGCCTGATGTACACATTTGGATATGTACCGTATACACACAAGACTTGAAGCCAAAAGTTCGTATATATATATATAGCCTGTAGCCTTATAGCTTCACAACTGGTACGGCTCAAAACTAAGACAAACATAAACAAATGTTTGAAGTGACTCATTTTCTACATTATTCAATGCACAAAACTTACCAAAAAGCACACTCCCACAAAGACCCGCACTCTTTTTTTTTTGAAGGCTGCAGGTTTGCTCCAGCCCAGTGACCCATTGGTAAATGTTAGCCGCAAGGGTGGGAATTGGTCATTTTGCCCCTTTTGCCCCTTGAGTTCGCCTGGAAATCTCGGCCAAGGAGCAACCTCCTGCAAGGTTTGCAGATTTTGGGTGATTCTTTGTTGGTTTCTGAAAATTGACACATTACTCTGATAAACTAAGAACTTGGATAACTTGGATAACTTGGTTTGGAAAATCACCATGTCAAAGAACGGTCAATCGTGCAGAAATGGGCCGGCACGCCCCATTTTTGAAACTTGCTGTGACAGTCCCATGGTTTGATTCCCACTGCATTTCTCTGTAAAAAAATCACGAAAGTATGTCATGAAATGCTTGATGCTTCTATTTTTCTTGAATGGCAAGTCAAAAATTGTTGGATCAAAATCTATGATATTGTATCATGTCTTAGCAAGACGTTCACATCTTTTACCTAGGGTTTCAGCCCCCAGGTCGCGGACGGAGGAGCAAAGTGCCGCAAGCCTCTCATTTTGGTATGGTAAACATAGCGCCATGGAAGCCATGGTGACTTGGGGATGGTGCAGATGAAATTGGCCCAAAAATTGGTTTTGTCAAACTGAGGACCTGATGGTTTTGTCTGCCATGGATGGTCAAACTGAGCAACTGCCAAATTGGATGGTTTTGTCTTAAACATCTATTTGTAAAGTTGTGGGGCGAACGAAGATGAGAGATATGGGCTGCACTTTTTACCAGTCGGCATGGCATGACTATTTATTGATTTTTTATTTGCATAAGACTGCCATGATGATCAATCCATGACAATCCATGGGAGTTTGGGGTAACCTCTCAACTCGGATGTTTGTTACGTTGGCCGTCCTTGAAACAAATCACCCCAAAGCAGAATCGCAACTTCCATGTATTAGTCTCAGCCAGTCATTGCGAACTTCATGGCAACTGTTAAAAAATGCCGAACCCTGTACCACCAGCTGGTTTTTCCAAGAAATGCTCCACGAATGAATAGGCCGTATGGATACTTTCTGATGTTGAATCCCCCAAACTAGTAAATGTTTAGTCACACTACAATTAGATATATCCCAGTCACGTTGGAGGCGATGGAAACTCAGCATTTTCAATGAATTATCGAACTAAATGGACCATTTCCAATAGCACACTGTTAAATTTACCCCAAGGGTTCTCAGAATTTTCAGGGAAAATCAGGACCCATAATTCAAAAACATGAGAGTTTCCCATGGGAACACAAGAGTTTCAACCGGAAATTCTCCCTTCAACTAGTTGTCCAATGTTGGGAACATCTCCCACGAGGAGTCGAAGCCGGAAGCGCAGCTCGAAGCGGAAGGAGAGTAGCTGGGACCTTGGACCCTTCCGTGCTTGTTTTCTCGTTTTGAATGGGGAGTTAGCTACTTGGGGAGTATTTTTTGGCTTAGACGTTACATCGGTATATATATATTATATAGTATATATATAGTATATATATATATAGTATATATATATAGTATATATATAGTATATATATAGTATATATATATAGTATATATATATATAGTATATATATATATAGTATATATATAGTATATATATAGTATATATATAGTATATATATATAGTATATATATAGTATATATATAGTATATATATATGTATATATATATAGTATATATATATAGTATATATATATATTAATATATATATAGATTATATATATATAGATCCTATAATTCATTACGCACGGAAATGAATAAACTACTTGTGATGGGTTAAGAAACTGGCGGTAGCCCTTTAACCAACTCTTTTTCGGCCAAGTTTGCTGCAGTCTGAGCTAGTTAGGAACTCTTGAAACCCAGATGGCTGATGTTTTTGCCTAAAAAACATATGCAAAACCCAACAACGTTTAACATACTGTATACCATCAAAACATGGTTTAACATGGGGACATATGTAAGCCACTTATTTCACAACAATTCTGCCAATGACTTACCAATAACTTACCATTATTCCTTGGGATGGTTTGACCCGAGGCCGCCGCAAACGCAGTCGCAGGCGCTCCAGCCTTGTCCTCGGCGTTCAGAACCACCTATATCACTGAAGGATGTGTGATAAGTTCTGTCTATCCATCTATCCATCTATCTATCTATCTATCCATCTATCCATCTATCCATCTATCGATTTATACTTCTATCCATCCATCTAGCTAGCTAGCTGTCTGTCTGTCTGTCTATCTATCTATCTCTGTACACACACACACACCTATGTGTATGTGTCTATATGTGTACATATGTATATATAAATATATATATATATTTATGGCATGTACATCGACACTGTTCCTAGCCTCACTACATCGATGCTGACCTTTCACTGCTCACCTTAGGTAGCTCAGATCGAAGCCGCCGAAAGGCCACCGTTCACGGTGCATATTTTCCGCCTCCCCACTGGAATGATTCACGGGATATCTATAGGGATATTTTTTCATGGGAATATCATATCCCTATAGATAGATAATGGGCATATATGAGAACAATAGATTAATCACTCATATCAATACAGATAGAATATTCCCATATCTATATAGATAGAACAATAGATGGGCATATTTTCAATAGATGGGAATATCATATAATTAGTTGGGATATGAGTGATTATAGAATATCATGTGGGTAAAATAAGAATGCCATAAAACACACAAATTTGTGAATGATATATTTATACCACCTATCACAACAGTGATGACTGGGGGGATGGTTTATGACATTGTTTTACCCACATTAAATGAATATAGATATATAGACAATGAACATCCCTGGAATCTGACAATGAAGATCCAACCAAATCCTTTCCTATGGTGAGTATAGAATATAATATAGAATTGTAGTTGGATTTTTACATGGCAACCCCCAAAAGGATGTTAATCCAACTAGAATAAGTGGTGAATTCCTTTTCTATTTTTTTTTTGGGTTACTCTAAATACAGCCTGATTTGAATCCCTCTTTAAGTATCCTTTGGGGCTCTGAGAGCCTGCGATGTCCTGCCTAAGGGATACTCAAATTTGGGTTGGCAAGCATCATATTTTAACTGGGGTGGGTAAAATGTTTATCATAGCGTATTTCTTTTTTCGATAGGCAAGTACAGTACCATATTTTAATTGGGATGGGTATAATTTGGGTCATAGCATAATTTTTTGGGATGGACCTCGATTTTTTCCAACGATTTTTCATGTTCACCAGGGCACTGAGCGTCTTTTCAGCCTCCCTATGTTTTCCCCCTGAATTTTCCAGTGAACGTCCCCTGGACCAGGACCGAAGGCGAAAGCGGAGCCGGAGTAGCAGCCTGGAACCTTGGAACCAGGGGTTCTTCAACATTGGGATTGAGAAAACTTGGATTTTCTCTGCTTTTGAATGGGAATGATACATATACACATGCTAATAGTAATACCAATTTTATTACAAAGTTTAATACTGATAATAATAGTGAGAATAAGAACAATGATCATAGTAGAAAGACTCATAACAACAAATAGTCAAAATAATCACAATAATACCTTCATCTTTGAAGACGTTGAGAAAGTTTTCAACCCCTGGTGGTGTCCCAGTGAGCTGTTTATCGCTTGTCAACATAACTAGCTTCACTGCGGTTTATGGTAGATATAACTGTGGTTAATGGTAGATATAACTATGGTTAATGGATGTTAATGGTCTAGCTGCTAGATATAACATAAATATATGGTTTTAGGTACCAGGTTTTTACAGAGATCTTTGCAGGTAGGTTTTCGATGAGATTCGGGGGAGGAATGTGATCAACCTTGGACCATGCTTGGTCCATGAGTTATAGATTTTGGCTTATCGACATGGATATTTACCTATATATATATATGTACATACATGCATATATATATATTGATTGACAAACCTTCTTAAACATACCCTTTCGCGCTGCAACATGGCGGATGGTCGCCATGCCACATTGGCTGAAAAAAATCAGCAGTGAAGTATGACATCAGAAAGGGCAGATATTGGGGATATATTTGGGGATGTACTTAGTAGATATTCATGTATATCAAAGAATATCAATGGGATATCAATGGGATATATCTGCATATTCTCGATGATATGGATATATATATATATATATATGTAAGTTTTTTTTTGGTACCATATATATATATATGTATGTATGTATGTATATGGAAAATCCACATGGACACGTGATTCCAGTCACTAGTTACTGTAAGCAAAAGGGGGGTGCCAGGCAGTCGGCGTGACAAAAAAAACAAGGACGTGCCCAAGGGAGTTAAGGCTTTGAACCTCGGGTCATCATACATAACCTCTGGTAATTTGTTACAGTTCGCTATTGAACATGGCCATTTTTTAGTTCGTGGATTTACCCAGTAAAAATGGTGATTTCCCATAGTTTTCGCTACTGAAAATGGCCATTTATAGTGGATTTACCCCAATTGAACATGGTGATTTTCCATCGTTTTTTGTAAACGTTTACCAGGCCGGGTCACTGGGAAATCTATTGGGATTTTCCGTGACCTGGAAGGGACCTATAGCTGCAAGCATTGCAGAAGTCGCGGGCAAAGCGTTCGAAAAGGCAGAAGACAACCAGCGTTTTTTGGAATACGGATTTAGTATCACTTGACAAGCCCTGGGAATGACAGATTTTTGCTGCTCATGAATTCTCCGTTGGTAAGCCATCTGATTTTGAGGATTTTTGAAACGCTTTTGGCTGCTAAAAAATTGCTGGTTCTTTACAAGTCTTTGTTGGTAAATCTGATTTTGAGGATTTTGGGATTTTCTCTGTTTTTGAGCCATCCCAGTTTTTTAGTTTAGTCTTTTCATACCCTCCAATTTGCTTACACATCCTGTGCATTTTTCCACAAGAAATGCCCAATTTTTGGGCCAGTGTGTGACCTCTTTTCCCAGGAGAAAGCACGGAAGAAGAAGCCGGAAGACCCAGTCAGCGAGCACTGTGGCGATGCTTCTGGCTGGATTTCAGATTGTTTCCATATGAGTGAATAGTTACAGTCCCAAAATGGTGATTTTCAGAGGGAAACTTATTTTCAGAGGGAAACCCTATATCTAAACTATTGTATTTTAAACTATTGCATTGAAAGGTACCCTATTCTCGGACAGACCCAAATGAAAGGGGATTATATGGTAGGTCAATGTGCTATGTTTTGACCAAATGGAGGAACATACTTACTGTCCTGCCAAATAATGCACCTTTTCACGCAGGGTATTTGAGGTTAGCCACTCTGGAGGGTATAACCTTTTAGTAGTTCAACAGTGGCTACCTCTCAAAACTGAATCCAACAAACCCGCATTTTTTTCTCAGCTGTCCCCTGGCTTTTGATGATTGAATCCATGTCTCCGCATTTGGCTGGTCAATTTTTATATCTTCTTCTTGGGTAAATCTCATTTTTTATCTGTTGGCTGTCTCATCATCTGAGTTTGTTTGAACATCGGGGAACAAGCACCAGATCCAGTCGTTTAAATTTGGACAATCAACGACTTCCCCTTTTTCAAAATGGCCATCTGACCACCAGTCTGACCACCAAGTCCCGTGGGCCCTTGAGGTCTAAGTCCAGTAGCTCCAGTGGCTTAGCGACGTTGGGATATACTGCACTGACGAATGGGATTGGTACCCTCTGGTAATTTGTTGCGTAGCTATTGAAAATGGCCATTAATAGTGGATTTTCCCATCAAAAATGGTGATTTTCCATAGCTATTCATGGGATATTCATGGATATCTCACCAACAACTAGGATGATGCTCCAGTGTCCTCAAAGATGGCTAGCTGGGAGTAGCCAATAAATGGAGATGAAAGAGTTTAGAGCAATTGATTGAACTAAATGGCGTATTTTCCAGCCTGCGCCATCGAGCTGATGACACCAGAGTGTAGAGGATTTTTTCATTGGTGGATATGTATATATATATATATATACATACGTACGTACATACATACATACATACAGACAGACAGACAGCCAGGCAGGCAGGCAGGCAGACAGACAGACAGACATACAGACATACAGACATACATACATACAGACAGACATACATACATACATAGATACATACATGCATTCATGCATGCATGCATACATGCATACATGCATACATGCATACATGCATACATGCATCCATGCATCCATGCATCCATGCATGCATGCATGCATCCATGCATACATACATACATACATACATACCTACATACCTACATACCTACATACCTACATACCTACATACCTACATACCTACATACCTACATACCTACATACCTACCTACCTACCTACATACCTACATGCCTACATACCTACATATACCTACCTATACCTACCTACCTACCTACCTAGATACCTAGATACCTAGATACCTAGATACCTAGATACCTAGATACCTAGATACCTACATACCTACATACCTACATACCTACATACCTACATACCTACATACCTACATACCTACATACCTACATACCTACATACCTACATACTTACATACATACGTACATACATACGTACATATTTTCCAACAATAATGGGGATATCGAGTGAGATACAACTAGCAAATGTTGCACAATTGGACAATCGGGATTTGATATCATTTACATAATAGGGTTTTTGCCAAGAAAATGGTGATCAATTGGATGTATGTAGTGGAAATATCATGAGGATATTTTTCGGATACATAACCAAGATGATTTATGGCCGTGTCTGGAAATGGAGTGCGCCCCCCCCCCAAAATGGTTATTTGAAAAGAGAACATGATTATAAACCACTGGATGGGTTTCCGGGGTACCATATTTTCAATGCAAAAACTTGGGATTTCACATCATTTATAGAACCTCAAAACTGGGATCTGACATTAAACAGATGGACATTTATTTGACAATATCAATATCAGTGGCAAAATCAGTTTTTTCATGGATGTTCAACCATAACGAATGGAAATTTTACATTTAGACATTGAAGGGTTAATATGATCTAAACCCAAACAATTGTGAAAATTGAGGAATGGTTGGAGGTTGGTAGCTAAGAAAATGTGTTTTAGAAGGGGGAACCAAATGTCCTCAGCTTCAAGTAGAACCCTATTGAACTAGCACGTCGGTTGGAGTAGACAGAGTATTTCGTTGCAACATCCAAGGACAGAACAAACATCTAAAGCTGGGGTTGCGTGGTTGTCTCACTTTACCGCTGTTTTTTTTTTTTTCCGCTGCTATACACATGGGCAGTGGCTGCCAAAATCTCTGGTGCTGAAACATACAGGATTAAGGGGATTGTCCTATTCTCTATATGAATTCCGGGATCATCATTTTGTTGATGGAACACCTTAGGCAGCAGCTCCAGTGCGGAGGCGTATGCGGACGGATGAGGAGTTGACCAAAGGGATACTGTACATACCATTGCGTGCGTGCAAGATCGTCTGTTTGAATGTCCGTTATATGGAAGATCAAAGATGATAAAAGCGTCATACTTCAAACATCAGGAAGTTCCCTAGTGCTTTGCCTCATGGAGTTTAGAGCAGTTCCCCTTCTGGAGATCTGGATGACTTTTGGTGAAGCTATCCGGTCCCTGCAGGAGGTATGATAACCATCAGAGGATTCTGAAGTCACGAGGGTACCCCCAAATCATCCATTCTTTCTTCACTATTGTAGTATAGTTTAACCATGTTTAACCTATGATGACGACTGGGGATTCCCCATGACTTAAGAAGCCTCCATAATCAGTAGACTGGGACGAGGTGAAGAAAAAGAAGGATGACAGCGAGGAGCCAAAGGGCCGTGCGTTTGGGGGATTGATCATCAAAACTGGGTAGACCGGGTAGCTGGGGGAGACCGGGTAGCTGGAGCAACTGCACTGGGGGATTTACCATTCGTGAATGGGAATAGTCCAAGGTTAGACCAGTGAGAGCTTTGTCACCAGCAAATGTAGATTCTACATATGGGAAACTCGATGGAGACCGAGAAAACCAAGGAAAATGATATATATATATAATCTACTCCACTCACATAATATATTCTATGTGTGTGGAGTAGATTATATATATAGATTATTTATGAATTACTGGTGGATTTTCATGGATTCTCTATATCTATGTTATGTAATTTTCAGGATTGTACCCTGGTTGGTGGTATCTCTGAGTCGATATCCACATCGACCTTGAAAAGTGATAGACCTTTTCGGAGGAAAATCACCTGGTTGAACCAGAGGAAAAGACATATATATATATATATTCCATATATATATATACATTCCATATATATATATATTCCATATATATATATATATTCCATATCAAGTTTTGTTTGTGATCTGTCAGGAGGTTTACATGAAAACCACACTTTGCATCTTCCATTCCTCTTTGTTTTGGAGGACGCCGAAAAAACGAAATACCACTGGAGTGCCCAACTGATCATAGTTGGAGGTCATTAAATCCCGTTCTGGTCCGACATGGCAATAGCCCGGATCAAAATCGCTGGATTTTAGCCTCTGGTCATTTTTCAGGCATGGAAAGCACCTATTTTTTTTGGCGGGTGCTGTACATCATCAGCTATTTCCATGGGCCATTTTCCGCAGCCGAATCAGCAGAGGGTATGCTGAGATCTTCTCCTTAGGACAGCGGAGCGAAAGCTGAGAAAGCTCCTGCCGAAGGGAGCCAAGTGGAGGTGAAGGAGGCCCAAGATACTACCAGGATCATCCCAGTGGTTCATAGGCCTGGTTGTTAAGTCCTCAAAGTGAGGTTATTCCATATATAACTGGGGTAGAACTATGGTTTTTTTCAGCAGTTACGATCCGTCAAGTGGGAGGATCCGGAGGATTGTACCGCAAATTTCACCATCATGGGGAGATCATGGGATGTCAGATGAAAACCGGAAACGTGATGTGTATTATAATGGAGTTTAATGTGATGTAAAATAAAACCATACTTGGGGATACAATTGGGATCAAACTATCAACAATGGTGAGCAAGGGGCCTTCAAGGGGACATAAGGAATAGGGATTTGACCAATTTGGATAAATGGGGGTGCAATTGGTTGATTTTCTGGGGAGATCAATGGTGAGTTCACCTGAATTTGGGATATGGGGACCCTAGAATTACGGTCTCAGATATATCCACTTAAATTCGGAACCTCACCCGGAATGGGCGTACAACGGGATATGTTTAGGGATATTCATGGGATATTCCATATGCGTTTTTTTTTCCCCAAAAAAGAGGGGTTTCGCCGATGTTTTTTCCATGAAATCAAGGGGTGCTAAAACCATGGACCGGAGGACCATGGCATCATGGGATGCTGATTTGTGTTTCGTCACCATGGCTCCGGTGGTGTTTTCATTGGCATTTTCTCGCTTTGATCACCATTTGCAGTTGGCGAAATCCGCAAAAATGCCCCAAGTGTTGGCTGATCAAATCCCGAATCTTGCCGTGGAAAATCCACCATTTTTGGTCTGACTAAAAATGGGGTATACCCCCCTAATGATAGCCATTGAATGGAGAAAATCATGAATCAACATCAAAATTTGGGGTATATTTTTCATTTATAGATGGGTATTCATCATTTGCCATAGATATTGATGGTACCCATTGATTTCCACCCTTTTTTCACCTGGGCGTTCCACGAGTCAGGCCGCACCTGCAGCTCCAGATGGGAGGCTGCTGCTTCATCCCATAGTCCCATAGATGGGATGCCCATGACAGGAATCTGTAGACTTTGTATGTCATAAACTTAGCATAGCCCAGTCATTTATGGGGGTACACCAAATTGACTTCAAGCATGGTTTATATAGTTTCTGTTATTTTTATTTACCAGCTCAGATCACATCCAACTGGACCCAGTGATATAGTTTATGGTATATATATACATATAATTATCCATTCATATACAGGATGGCGCCACCAAGATAGCGTTCAGTTGACATATCAGTGGCTGATTTCTATGGTTTATGGTAGACATAACTATATGACTATAGTTAATGGGGGTTATAAACCATAAGCCAACTTATAACACCATCCTGTAGATGATCACCCAGTTGTATGGTTTAGCTTGACATTGGACCACCGGACCATTGCAGGCAGCAGCGGAGAAAGGAGTTGGAACAGGTTTGGGCCGATGGGGGATGCCCTCCAGCAAACGAACAAAAAGAAGTGGAAAAACATGGAAAAAAACCCAAGAAAACTTATCTAAACCATGATATAACTAACCATTATTACTATAATCATCGCTATTATTCTGGCTATCCTTGTGCTATTAGTGTTACTAGTTATATTTAAAACTTAGAACTCATTTTCTATAAATCATGCTATTACTTTACCGTTTACAGTTCAAAGATGATTGTGTGATTACTGTCGTGTTCTAATGAACTAGTACATACGTGCAGCACCAATACAACTTTCAAATTATATTATATACATATAATCATAATAGTAACAATGATGGGACAAGTAGATATGATGATCCTCAAAATGATCATATTATGATAAATGATGAACACATTACTATGATATACTGCTAACAACCAAAACCATATGATAGCACAGTAGTATTATCATATCCGGATCTATGATATGATCATTACATTATAACGATGATATTGATAGCAATAATGATATTTTCCGGATACATCAATGTCAAATATCATACTTCCATGATAACAACAGTTATAATTTGCAATAGTAGTTTTGGTAACTACAATAGTTATAAACATCTATGATGATTATCTATAATATTGCTATGATTAATACGAGAACAATAATCCCATTCCCCTAATATTAAACACCCCTTTTAAACGAAACCATGGTTTTTTCTTGGGAAATTCCACATTCCACTGGAACCATACAATGGGTGTTTAATATTAGCCGTGTTTCTCGCCAGGCTGTGAACGAAGCAGAACTGGCCACCCAGCAGGTCCTGGGAGAAGTGGAGGCGCGCGAAGAGACGAATGGAAGAAACGTGTTTTGGTTGTGGAATATTTAATGGTGGGTATATTCCGGGAAAAAATATTCCACATATTCCACAAGAAATCCATTAAACAGCTAATATGGAATATTTAATGGAAAAAAAACATCCTAAAAGAAATCATCACCCATATTTAGCTGTTTCCTATGATGGTATGATGGGGAGCCTATTTAACTGTTTCCCATGATGTTCAGGTCATGATGGTTCCTATAAGGCCTATAAGGACATTAGAATGATTGGGAAGCTGTTGCCATTATTTGTGCCCTATGATGTGGGAAGATACCTTTTGGAAAATAATAACGCAGCGAAGTGGAAAATCAATGAAAATAATCGATCATCTGTTTCTATGGGCCATGGCTTCCATAGCTATGTTAAACAACCAGAGGGTAATGAGAATCTAATGAATATGATGGAATATGATGGACATATACTGCGTTTTTTATTTTATTTAAATATATATATATATATACATAATGAAATTGTTCTAAACATGTCTAAACCACTTTAAATTGCATGTATTCATTTGTGACACCACGACACGCTTTTTAGCCGTTTCCCACCTGGCCACAACCTACTTGGAGGATCCCACATTTAAAAAGGGAACCTGGGTTTTCGAACCATACTTACCATCTGGTTATGACTAACAGTTCGCCATGGAAAATCACCACTTAGTTCGATGGTTTACCTATTAATAGCATGGGTGGATCTTTCCATGGCTATGTTAGTCATAACCAGAGGGTACTAATTATTATGGGCAAAATTGGCAAGTCTCCCATTTGTGGTTGTTGGTTTCCAACTCCGTCGAACTAGTTCGATATATCTACCATGAACCTTCGTATTTTGCAATGGTTACCAGTTGCCATACCAATAACCATAGTTGCTCACATTACTCATCATTAGATCATGTTTGATGGGTAAATCCATTGCCCAGTCACCCTAGTTTCCAAGAATAGATTTACCACGATAGTAAGTATGATTTACTCATCAATGGTCAGTAAAACGCTTATTGATATGATGGGACATTTACGAATCAATTAAGACTCATGGCAATTGCTAACTCTGATTTAATCATCAGACTGGCAATAGTTTTTTGCAGTTTAAATTGTAATTGAAGTACTAATTTAAGTTTTGAATGGGATTGGTACTTCCATAACTAATGAATTTACGAGTTAATTTCCAGTATCAATTAGTAATTTATCATTTGATAACCATTTGATAACTCTAAATTTATTGATTCATTGAAACTATATCCATCATGTAAATAGCTATTGAATGTTATTGAAGTAACAATTTCCGCCATGGACAGGAAGCTGCTGCGGAAGCAACGTCCCGAAAGGAGGAGTCGGACAAGGCTACCGTGGGATGTGACGGATGAACTAGGGATGAACTCATCGGAGGCCTTGGTTCATGGGATAATGGAATATACCATCTGGTAAACCTATTTATAGCTATCTAATACATCATTCTAATGGTAGACTACATAGCTATTTTTTCTAATAGGTAAACTAACAGTTCGCTATGGAAAATGGCCCATAGAAATAGATGGTTTACCTATTAAAAATGGGTGGATCTTTCCATGGCTATGTTAAATTACCAGAGGGTAATGGTTATACTATAATGGTTATAAGTTATAATATAATGGTTAATAGTTAATTTATAACTCACCATTTAATGGGATGTCTAATGATTAATGGTTAATATATGGTGGTTAATAGTGGTTCGTAATGGTAAATGGTGGTTAATAATGGTTTCTTAAGTCAGGGATCCCCAAGTCACCATAGGTTAACCTAGACTGAAATAGTCTAATGACTTGGACGATTTTTCGGGGTACCCCTATTTTAAGGGAAACCTTCATTTATAGGCACTTTAACATTAAAAATCATCATAAACATGGGAGAATATGCGGCTATAATTGAAAAACCCTCTTGCTTATTGAATTTCATCCATAACTGGACATTCTGCAATGATTTACAGAGGTCTTGACCACCAAAACGATGGGGATGTAGTTGATAAAGGACAGTTGATTGATGATTATAGGGAGACATGTTACTCAATATATTTGGATTTCTACAATACCCTGCAGGAACTATTCACCAACCAGTATAATGGAATGGGGATAGAACCATATAGGCCTCAAAAAATGGAGATACAACTCCGTTGTATCCTCATTTTGTGAACATGTTGCGACCTGATTGGCTCACCAACCATGATGCATGTGAAATGAAACATGATGATTTTCGACTTGGGAATAAGGATGATGTGCCCAGGATTGATGTTTGTACTGAGCTGCATTGGAAGATAGCAAGTCCATGGTGAACATGGGGAACACCAAATTCAACCAATTTCCAAGTTTTATTATTTTTGGATTAAACCAACGAAGAATGAATCTGCTTTATTACTTCATGCCATTTTGGGGATATATTCCCCTATCATGATGCCATTTTTGGGATCCAAAATTCTCAGACACACCCTACGAAAGATCAGGCAGAGAAGATCTCGTCTGCAAAGTCCCAGGAGGCGACAGCTTCAATACGCCGCGACCTGGGGGTACCTATGGTTGATCAGGTAGATATAGTTATCTGGTTGGTGGTTTGGAACATTTTTTATTTTTCTATATATTTGTAAGAATAATCCAACTTACTTTCATATTTTTCAGAGGGATTGAAACCACCAATCAGTTATAACATGATATAACGAACTAGTATTCATGGGCTTTATAAACCAACTTATAACATATATAACGAACTAGTTCATGGGCTTTATAAACCAACGTTCACATCACTGGTTACCATCCTGTACATAGGACTGAATACGGGGCTCTAAACTTCCCCAAGTATATAGCTGGATGATTTTGTAGAATGGGGATTTAACCAACAGAAATGGTGATTTAATAGGACTTAACCATCAGACATGGGGATATAATGGGAATACAATTGGGGATAGAACGGGAATATAGTCGGACCATAATTGGGATATACAGCCCAACACGTTTTTTTTTTTTTTTAAAACGCTTAGAAACAGATGGTTTAGGGGTCGTCTTGTTTTCCCTGTTATTTGATGACAATAATCTGGTGATACGTGGGGCCCCTACATTTACAGACACACGCGTTCATCATCATATGTGGGGATACACTCCCCAGCCAAAAAATATACTTTCTTTTTAAACGATATATATATATATATACATATACATATACATATACATATATACACATATATATATATATGTACACATATATATATATATATGTGTATATGTATATGTATATGTATATATATATATATCCAAGATTTACCAGATTTTGGGCATGGGTCAATGTCGAAGAATTCCTCAACTTGGGTAAATGATATCAAGCCGTTCTAGTCGTTTACCACTCTGGGGATGGGCATTTTTGTCCATGGCTCATGGAGTGATTTCTGATGATTTACGTATCTCAAGCCATGGCTTATGTTAAATACCCTCTGGTAAACAGTCACAGTTTGCGAACTGGAAAATGGCCCATTTATAGTGGATTTATCCATTAAGAATGGTGATGAATTCCATAGTTGCGTAAACGTTTACCAGAGGGTAACCAGAGGGTAGAACATGTAAATCACCATCGTGAATCGAAGATGGAAGACCCCGAGGGTCGGGTCCCCAAGTCATAGATCTAGATCCAAGACATTTCTCCCCGCGTTTCGTTGGCGGAGTATTGACAGATTACACAGCCATCCCCTACTGACCGCTCTTTTGTGAACTAGTTGGATATTTGACCATCAAGCATCAAAAATCTAATGGGTTTCTTTTGGGTGTTGAAGCTTATAAAAACCCATCCCCTGATATAACAACTCTTCTATTAACTAATTGGGTATTTAACCATCAACCTATGGGTTCATAATAGGGTTATTTAAGCATCAACCATTACTATCTAATGGGCAATAATAGTTGGGCTCCCCAACTTTTTCTATCTCTGGGGGATATTCAGATGACTCAGGCGAAAGAGCTGGAAGAAAAGGCTCAAGCACCGCGGCACCGCGTTGGGCTGGGATGGGAATGAAGACCTCTTTGTAGTTTGTATAGAGTATAGAGTGATACTTGTGTGTATATATGTATATTGTATTTTGTAATATAGATTATAAAGTTTTTCGCTCTTTCGCTTCTTTCTGTTTGTTTCTTTTAATAGATACTCTATGTACACACATAGGGGGAACTAACATGCTGGAATGATTTATCTCTCAAGATGGGGCCATGCAGGTATCGGGGGGAAGTTGGGCGTGGCACAAAATGTGAGGGTTTTCCTGGCAAAACCTCAGGTTCTTACCTGTATCCACTGTGATCACATGTGCACTTCGCTAAATTGACTCATAACATGATCAAGTAGGGTTTATAAGGGATACAACGAACTAGTATTCATGGGATTTATAAATTAACAAACATCACGTTTGGAGGGCCGACATTGTATTTATAACCTGAGTACCCATTCAGTTTTCCACAGGAGGTCATTCCCTAAGCCGTCTAAGGCAAAGGAAGAAGAGTCGAAACGTCTCGCGAAGGAGGCGGGACATTTTCAATTTCTGGAGTCCCATAAGAAGCAACAAAACATGAACAAAACATGTTCAAAAATCGTTTTTGTTTGCAATGCTTTGCAACGGGAGAGTGGGATAATTAGTCCTTATAAAACAAGGAACACTGATTTATATTGGCTTTATCATGGGGATCATGATGGGGATCATGGTGAACATGATGAGGTTTTTTTTGGCCAGTGTCCGCCTTTTTTCGAACGACAGATTTTTGTGGATGCATTTGACAATCCCACGGTTCCGATATTTATTAACCACTCCCTACTAAACCATGGCTTTCGGAAGTTGTTTGATATTGGGGGGACTGGATAAAAAAATCAATGGGGTCTTATTTTGCTTCTGTCAAACCACTTACCGTAGGTGGTTCGGAACCTTTTGGATTAGCAAGTAGTATTTCCACCTAAAAAATAAGCCTTACAGTACGTGCCTAGTTGTAACCATGATCAGTACACCCAGGTATACATAAGGTCTTTGTGAGTTCCTTACAACCCTGGGCTGCTGATTACTGATGTTCTTATTTTGGCTTCTGATTTTCACCAATGACATTGCCACATCTCCACAAACTCTGAAAACAAGCTATTTACTGTAACCTTGAAGTAGTCAGGATGATCCTCCAAGTATATACCCTAGTTAAGTGAACCAGTGAAGTGGTAGGGAAGCAAGCCCGGTTGCAACCCTTAGTAACCAATATAGATATGTAAAATCCACCAATTGATTTTTCCACGGGACTTCCGTATGGTTTTGTTACATGTTTTTTTTTTCTCCCAAGAATGGCGTATTTACTCTTTTAACCATTGATTTCCCCCAAAAAAACAAATAACTTGGATGATACCTGAATATCCGCAACCACACCACCCACCCATTGTGGACTAGATTTATGGGAACATATGACATTTTGTGGCAAGACTTTTAACCCATTTTAGGATCATTTTTTTGTGGGTTTGTGGGTCCCCTTTTTTAGTACACCCCCTTTTTGTTTGGGGTACTCATCACGTGATCATCCTGGATTGTCCCCATATCCGATGGCCTCAAGCATCGAGAGATGGCTCACAAAGAAAGCGGGGAAAAAATCACTTCCATTATTTAATGTCTCTATATATATATATATACACGCACACATATCTACACATATCCATGTCAATGTCATTTATGATTGTGTTTTTTTTTTCAGCATATTATCCATAGTGTATATCAATATAGTATATATCAATATGGGTACTAAATATACTATATTGAGATACACATATACATACTATATCCCGAAAGAAAGTACATCTGCGTGTCTTCTTTTTTTCGATCCATCGATGTCTGGGATACGAGGCCGCCAAGGCCAAGACGAAGGCGTCCAAGGCCTCCGAAGAGGCCCTGAAGGCGCGCGATGATGCGGAGGCGCGCCGAGAGCCATCGGATTGTGGTTTTGTGAGGCAAAAATTGGGGGGTTCCTAAGTCATGGAGGTACCCAAATAGCTGGATTTTTCCTAAAGGAAAATCCCAATCTAAAATGGATGAGAACTGGGGGTACCCCCCATTTTAGGAAACCTCCATATAACTTTTATAACCAGTTTTGCATCCCATACAATCCAGTGTGGATCTTCCGTTACTTCAACAGAATCCAACTGGGGGTCGCCATGAAGTGGGGCCCGTAGCCCCAAGTAGTCATACTGCATGCATCAACAGTGATGAAGCATGATACTCACAAAGAACCATGAACAATGTGACCACATATATTTGGATGATTTTTTGGGAATGTATTTCACCATCCGATGATGATTGTTTTCTGATGATTGCCCTGTGTAGACGCTGGCCTCCAAGAAGGTGCCCAGGTGCCCATCGCCCTTTGTTCTATAAGCCAACTTACCACAGGTGCCCCCCAGTGATGTGAACGTTGGGTAACAAAAAACCATGAACTAGTTCGTTATATCCATTAACATTCCAATAACAGGAAATCGGATGGTGCCCCCCAGTTATAAGTTGGTTTATAACCCCCATCAAAACTAGTTCGTTATAGAGTTCGTTCTACCATAGTTACCATAGTTACCATAGTTACCATAGTTCATTCAGCCACTTATCCAACTTATCCATATCTGAACCGCCTTCAAGGTGAAGGATTCGGAGTACCAGGAAGCCGCCTCGGCGCATCGCATGAAGTTGCGGGACGCAGAGAAGGCCACAGCTGCCCTGTTGGTTGATTAGTTCCGGGAGGACAAACTCCGCCTTTATCTCTTGGGGATTAGAATCCAACAACGGGGCATCCCGTTCTTAACCAGGATGAAATGGAATGATAGAGGGATTTTTGAACACTGCTCACTGAAAAAAAGTAGGTTATAACCACAGTGATAAATGGACTAAGCCTAGTAATAGTAAGTGGGACGATGCCACCAAATGGGGAATGATATGGAATGACCAATCCATGAGCTCAAGGCGACAGTGCACCATTAGACCATTGGATAAATAAGACATGCGCATGTATATATATATATATCGGTCCCTGACCATGAAAGGTACAGATTGACTACCCAGATGTGCGGTTTCTATTCTCTTTATTCTCGTTTTTTTGGGGCCCAAACTCCAGTCTTGCTATGTAAATCCCCGTTGAAAACCCCCCTGATTTGGCTGGGAACATCCCACTTTTTGCCGAAAAACCCCGAAACATCCCGGAGGTTTTGCCTGGTTGCAGTCGGGCAGTCATCCCCAAAAGATTCAAGTCATGGCTCTTAAAATGGCTCCTGAAAGCCCTCGTCAAAACAGAGCTCAACTTACTTGTCCTTAGTAATGAGGGAATGGATGGGAATGGGATGATGATAAAAATCGTTTCCAACTTATGGAACTCTTAACTGGCAAATCAGTTTTAAACCATGAGATTTTAGACTTCGCCCTGAAATCTTCAGACAAAACGCAGCCAAACTGTGCCCACTGGAACAGGCCAAGAAAAACTTGGAGGCTGCACGGCAGGCAGGTAACCCAAGAAACGGATGACTGTCAGAGGACTTATTGTCCTTCCCAAAAATGCATTTTCCTTTGGGTTGAAATTGCAACAGTCATGGCCCCCTCACCTCAGCATACCTCAGCTCCATAACAGTCCGCTCCAAGGGGGTAACTGTTAGATCCGCAGCTGGTTGATGGTGGACTTTCAAGCCGTGTTTAGCTGATGACACCAGAGGCGATATCATGAAAATTACCTTAGTTACTGTTCATATCATATTGACCACTATCAACCACCAGCTCTTACTATTTTTTTTTTACTGGTTTTTTTTAGCATCAGTAATTGGGATGATACTGTATATTGACCAGTATCAACCCAATATTTACCCACTATTCACCCAACATCAGCCCATTCTCAAGCCATGGATCCTTCAGTTTTGCCATGCAGCGTCTCGGTTTCCTCGGTTTCCTGCAGGCCTTGTCATCCTTTGACCAGGCCGCGGTGCAAGAAACGGAAAATCCATGTATCGTCGGCTTGTGGACAAATCATCCACCACTTATCAACTAGATATTTACCATAAATATATATATATGTATATATATATGGAAACATATACCAGGATATAGGATATATGTATATATATAGTTAGCCACCTTATATCAACTATATGGATATATATATATAGATATAGATGTAAATATAGATATAGATATTCTCTTCTCCAGAATTTCCTGAATCCTTTCTTGGTGGCCAGCTCCATATTCCCTTTTCTTCTCAGAGGCTGACGCTTCGTTTGTCCAAAAATGTCTACCGGTTGTACCGGTTGACCTCATCCCCATGACCTGTTGCAGGGTCTGATGAAACCAATGACTAACCCCATGACTAACCCCATGACTAACCCCATGACTAACCCCATGACTAACCATCAATGGATGGTTTATTAATGTTTATTAAATTAGTAGCAAATGGTGTTTTTCTTTCAATGCCATTGGCTGAAAGCCACACGAATCTCGTAATGATCTTCCATTGATGTTCGGATTTTTCCTGGAGTCCCCAATTCTTACCAACGTTTTTCCCAGTACTTTTCGGTTTTTCGGACCACGTAAGTTCCGGCATTTTTTTGGTCACCGCAAGCCGGCCTTAGCGCCTTAGCGTTGGTCTTCAGGGAAAGAGTGGCCGGGCGAAAGGCGCTATGGATTGATGGTGTATTATAGCCATCAAAATTTGCGAATCATTGGGGATGGTTTAGTACTAAAAAAAATGCATTTATAGTACTAATAAATGTCTTTACTCGCATTTTTTTTTGTGCCATCTTGTTGTAGACTTTTCAATGTCGATTTGAACATAATTGAACCGAGCTTTCCAGCTCATGTAGTATTGGGGTTTAATCAACATTGGGATGGCCAGCTCCTGAAAATTATATGGTTCAGGGCTGCAAAAATCGTATGGATAAGCCAGAGAGTCGCGGAGTATTGGGTACACAGAATGTCAGGACCTCCGCAACAGCTTGGCTGGTGGATTTTTGATTCTTGAAGCATTTTTTTTCCACACACCTGGACTCCGGACCAAAGATCCTTGTGTTGAAGGGTTTTTCAGGATCTGTCCCAAGGTTCACCCGAAATCGTCCAAAAACGGTTACCATTTTCAGGTGAAGCAAAAGGAGATGATGGAGGAGAAGGACCGCTTTGAAGCCTCCAGATGGTCGTCTCTAAATCTATACATATCTACACTATGTAACCCCCTTGAAAGCTAGCATAGAACTCCGAAATGGCCTATTTCTGCAATTTCAGATGGAAGAAACGGAATCTAAGCCCCGTGGTTTTGAGGTTCGATGATTGTTTGGAGGGTAAGTAGGGTAAGTAGCCACTTCATGAAGGTGGGAACCGCTGTGTGACGACCCCATCCTGGTTGGGTTCCTGGTTCAAGGCAGCAAGGTTGGCCACATGAAGCAAGTTCGGACGGCCAAGGCATTTCAGGCCTCCAAAGTCTTAAGACGGACGGTATGAATCGGTATGAATCATCTCTATTTTTGCGACTTAAAACCATCTTACGCCTCCTAAATTTCACACGGAACCCCAAAACTGGGGTCTAGAAGAGAATTTTCCGAATGTGGGCCATCATTCTTTGGCTTCAACTGTGGAAATTTTGGGGGTCTAAACTTCAAATCTCTTCAAGTCATCTATCTAATAATCTAATCATCTATTTGTTGAATTTCACATATTTTCTGGCTTGAAACATCTTTAAACCAGAGATTTTCCATGATTTTTCCGGCTTCATCCCTGACCTCCACCTGACCGGGCCATGGCGCGGGCCTCGGCCCCTGTGGCCCCTGTGGTGCCCGTGGCCGACGTGGCGCTGCCCGAGCCCTGCGTGGTGCTGCTGCGCTCGGCGCTGACGGGGGAGGACTTGGGGTCCTTCCAGCTGGAGCAGCGCACGATGCTCGGAGAAACGACAGACGGAGGTCATGGTTACCGTTTTTTTTTTTTTTTTATGGGATGAATATCAAAGTTAGTTGATGATGATGATGATAATGATGATGATGATGATGTTGATGATGATGATGATGGTTATTATTATGAATATGAATCTCCCACTGAGATTGGGATGAAAATATCGAAGTTTTTTTTTAATGACAATTCATTCATTTTTTTTACATGATTATGAATAGGAATATGGTTGGATGATTTTTTTCTGTACTTGGATTTAATGGGGTAATGATTAGTCATGATTAATGATGGTAAATGATGGTTAAGAATGCCTAATAATGGCTTAGTTAATGGATTATTTGACGGACTATTCAATGGCAACTTGGGGGATCATCCCACAGATCGTAACTGCTTCGTGACCATAGTTATTTCACTATATTTCACTTCTATATTTGGGATAACCGATACCCATGAATCGGGGACTTACTAACCAGGGTTACTAACCATGATCGAGTTACATGGCAGCCCACTCATAGTCACCAATGTCAACCCCGGCCTCTCACTGCTTGGGTACTATGTTAGTAGCAGATGATTACCATTTGCGAAGGGATCCCCTTTGTTTCATCCACCGGGGTATCAATTCAATTCATCCGGGGTTAACATTTTTTGAATGCGATTTTTCAGCATCAACTCTCGAAATTCATAGTCACATTTTCAACGTTTCCAGTAACATCTCAATGGCCATTACCTAAATTAGAGGTACCTAACATATGTAAGATGTAAGGGTATATCCCTACAAAATATGGCCTTATATGGTACAGTACCTCCATTTTAGGATCCTGGAGATCTCCCATTGAACATCCGACCGCGTTGTTTGAAACGCCGTTTTTTGTTTTCCGCGCTGAGGACGCTGCTTCAGCTGAAAGAGAGTGTGGCAAAAACCACCGAGGCTCGTAGATCTCGAGTTGACGATGGGGATTTGGCAACCATCAACTGGGTAAGTTCATGATGTTTATTCATGAATAATATGGGTATTTAATGGATAATGATTATTCATGAATCTTTGTAAATAAAAATATGAATAATCAACTGGGTGGATTTTCCATGATTTTTCTATGATTGTATTTCAAATCTAGATAGAACGGTCCATTTAACATCCATACATGGGATGATTGGCATATACTGTAGTCTGTTGATGTCTGTTGATGGATGTTAATGGATGGTGGATGTGATATCTATAGTTAATGGATGTTAATGGTTTTATTCCCAACGATAAATGGGAGATGTAACCATTAGGATGTACAATCTGGATGAATCATGATGACCTCACGTCGCTTTCCGTCACTAAAATGATGCTTTGTATACGGGGAATCATCCGAAATCATCTCCACATGGCCCGGCCCAAGATTTCAGCTATTTTCAGCTGAGTGACTTAGTGTAATTCCGCCAGATACCATGGTTTATCAATGTTTATCATGACTCCTCCAACGTTGGGAAAGTTTTTCAGAGACCGTTCATTGATGTTGGAATATGGTTTAGCTTCGATAAACCCAATGACTACCATTTTGGGAGTTCTTTTTTAAATTTAAAGCAGCTATTTTGGTGATATTGGGGATGGTTAAAAATTGTTGGGGGAAACCCACAGCTCCAAACTCCCATGGTCGTCATGTGGGCCCACAGAATTCGCAATCTGGGTACTGGTCATTTCCGAATTTGGGACAATCGTCTATTGGTTCATAGACGAGTCATAAAAAACATGATTGCAGTTTCATGAGATCTGCCCCCAACAAAATCGCGTAGACGAGGTTTCTCGTCTGGGGTTCAATGGAAAACACCAGCTGGATCGTTCCTGGAGGATACCCTCTTTGTTTTGCTAACAGTTTGCGAACTGGAAAATGGCCCAGTCGAAATAGTTGATTTACCAGTTAAACATGGTGATTTTCCATAGCTATGTTAGTCATTACCAGAGGGTAATTTTCCAATCCAGAAACATTCAATCTTTGTTCCGTTGGACCCTCTGGTAATCAAACAGCTTGCAACGGAAACTCCGCGTTGCCAGCGGGTAGGCAACGGGCAAAGGTTGCAGATATATAGAAGCAAGACAAACATAACAAGGAGATGATGCATCCACAAATGGGGAGGTCACCCAAAGTTTAGGAGGTCCACAAGCAAAGTGGGTTTGGATAGACGTCCATTAATTATAGGACTGTCAAATTCAACGACGACTTGAAGCTGGTAGTTTTCAGTGTTCAACCATACATTTTCTACAAGGTTCAAGCAACACAATCTGGGACGCAACCAACCATTTTTTTGGGCACATCACCAGGCAAGTTTAAATTTAACCATCAAATATTAGAAATTACCAACGACTTGTGGGACACAATCATTGAATATGGGCTTGTCACCAACAGAAATTGCGATGCAACTGGAAAATGTGGGGATGTCACCGACAAAGCATGGAATGTAATGAACAAAAATGGGAATTTCAACTCTAAACATCCAGATATATTTAGCCAACAAGAACAGATGCCTAGCAAAATCGGAGATCAATCAAGGTTATACCTCTGGTAATCTAGCAGCGCCATTTTTAATAAATAAATCGTGTATAAATTGTTAGACTACCAGAGACTATTAAGCAGGTAGTGAATGTCTCACTTTATGAAACAGACCAAACGATGCCCATGAAACTGAAACAGTCATCAAATTGCTCGCTCAATCATGCCACAAAAAAAACGGCATCCGATTCCAACACTTCTTGGAACTCCTGCACCATTGGGTCACTTTTGTTTTTGCCATTTGCGTCTGAAAATGGTACCACCAGTCATGGCCATAGGAAAACTGATGATCAACCATGGGATGGAATACCATATTTTCAGACCATTTTTTTGTCTCCGATTTTCATAGAGAAAAACCCAAGAATGGCTCACCCAATGCCACGAAGAGGTACCGACTTTTCACCAGAACTTGATGTATAAGGCGAGCGCCGGGGTCAGGGCGCCGGGGTCACAACATTCCAGGCTGCGTTTCGAGGCACAAATGAGGGTCATATCTGATCACGATGTGTATATCAAGTTGTAAATGACAGGAGATATAACAATGATGGCGATATCAAGTTATATTGAGTTATATTGGTTATATAAGCCCAATTTACAACATGATAAATCATGGTAATCAAGCGTAGCTATGGAAAATCCTCTAGAAATGAAGGGTTTTATGGGAAAATCATTTGTAAACAGTGAATTCCATTGCCATGTTTGATTACTAGTTCGGCACTAAGTTATATATATACATATCTATATTAATTATATAAGTATATTAAGTTATAGATGATAAGCTGCCGTCATGTTTTTGCATCGTCGCTTCCAACCACGCTAGGACCGACGGTTGACCAGGAAGACTCCGGAACTACTAGAGGAGCAACGGGCCAGGCCTTCAAGGGCCATCTGGTTATTGAACGTAGCGAGTTGTGGAAAATCACATTTTTTCTAGGTAAATCATCAAAAAAGACATCTATATATGGGCCGTTTTCCATAGCTATGTGGAATAACCAGAGGGTAGTTGATTTATCACATACGATAAGATATTAAAGCTATGGATCTATCATATTATCCATATTTCTATTTATCATATGCTTATACGCTAAACCTCAATTTTCTATTGATCTATCTAAGTTGTTTGACATAGCTTGAGCGTAGATCAATAGAAAACTGGGGCTAAGCCATCAAACACGGTGGTTTAACATGGGGAAAACTGCATCTGGAAATGGGGATATGTAGCCAATATATGCCAACGTCATGTGGAATATCTCCCATACAGGCACTCAAAATGAATAGTGTAGAAGAAGGGCTTAAACCAACTTACCTATCTACTTGCATGTGGATGGCAGTTAGTACTCTCTGGTAATCAAACATGGCTGGCTGGAAAATCCACCATAAATGTGGTTGATTTTCCCATAAAACCCTCCATTTTTTGGGGAGTTTGAAGTGCCAAAAGAACCAGATCATCCCAAGTTTGGTTCACTTACAACCCGAAAAAGATGCCGAAATACGGTATGAATAGCTTCAATGTTACACAGAAATACGGCAGGATTTCACCGCCTCTCTTTTTTGGGGGATGACAATCCTTAGCCGATCGTCTCTAGGAGATCTTGCGTCTTCCTGAGGTCGATGTTGGGGGATGGATTTCCTGAATTTCTATGGTGGATTTAACTGTTCCCCTCTGGTAAACTAACAGTTTGCTATTGAAAATCACCATCTTTGATAGGTAAATCAACTATTTCTATGGGCCATTTTCAATAGCGAACCGTTAAATTGCCAAAGGGTAATCTACATATCCACTGAGATTTTCAGAATCTTAAGGGGCACATCATCTTGAGTGGCATGGCTGATTTGAGTTGATGGCAACAGATTGGCAGAGGGTAGTGGTTCTTGTCCGGTGGCAATGAGCAATGGAATCCAGAACCATCACAGGGTTCCAAAATGCCATTTGGTCATTGGTCTACCAAAGCTGCACATTTGTGCCAGCTCTTCAAAGAACTGTTCCGTAGCGTCTTGTTGGCTCTGTCTCCAGTTTCGTTGATAGGGCAGCCCTGCTCTGCTCATGTAGGTTTTCGTGCAATTCTGGTTCAACAGTCAGAACAAATCCAACGGGAATGCACGTCCCAGCAATTTTGGCTGGTGATTTTCCGACCGCATTTCTGTTGGTTCCCCTCCACAGTGGCTGTATGCAGGTGGTCCTTACCTTGCTAAAAGATGCCTCAGCCACTTGACATGTGCAGCGCCTTCAGATGGGCATGGTTAAAAAAAATATATATATGTATATAGTTTATTATATAATATTTAAATGTTTTGTAAAAAGGAAATCCAGGTGATTTAATGGGATATTCATGGGAATTATATCATGGAATAATGTTTTTTTTTGGGATATCAACGGGACATTCATGGAATAAATGGAGGTTTAATGGGATATTGATGCGTTAGTCGTCACTTTCAGTATTTTGAGCAGTGATTTCTGGGTACAAAAAAGGACACCCCGACACCAAGTTCCATGGTTTATTCTCCCATGTGTTGCAAAATGGTCATCCCCCGTCATGTTGGGAGAACCAGGGCCTCCATAATTTTTCCATCTAACTTGACCACGGCGCAGAAAGCATTTTATGGGTTTTCCAATCCATAAAACAATGATTTTCAACTCAATCATGTGACTGATTTTCCATGATGATCCATATTTTTCCACATGATTTCAGTTCAGACTGATTTCAATTTTCCGCTCATATGAGTTTCTTAAGATCCATCTGGGCGGCTCACAGATGACTGTGGCTCCGACCTGTCTCAGTAGTTGAGTTTACTAGTCAACAGCAGCGAAGTTGAACGTCTCACTGAAAGTTTTTCTCCGTTTTTTTGGTTTTGAGGATGCACAATGCACTGTTCTTTCTGTTCATTTGGCATGTGAACAGCAGGATGAAGCTGGGTCTAAACATGCAGGGGCCCGATTTTTTTGATGGCCATTCCAGAAAGGAGCCTTTGTTTTTCTCCAGATTCTGAATGTCAATGGATTGGTATAGGGGAAATTTGACAGGAAACCCTTGTAAGGGTTTCCGGTGAGGAAACATTGACTTTTCATAGGGCACCCCCCGGTTGCCTGGAACGATCAGGTGTCGAATGTGGCTGGAACACACCTGTCGAAATATCCCAATTGTCTGTGCACACCTGGTACCTTGGACCTTGGTCCTGGATGTAGCCAATAAAGGAGGTGTAATGACTTGGATGATTTGGGGTACCCCAATTTATGGAAACCACCATATATAATCATGTATATATATATATACATATACATATTATACGGCTTATATAGGGGTTATATTAATCATATAGGGCTTATAGACCACTAACTATCTTCGGGTTTCAAGATGTGTTTGTGCGAACTTTGTTTCCTTTGTCCTAAATGTCCAGCTTGATGCTCGACTTCTGAAGTTCCATTTACTTGAGATGTACCCTTCACACCCAAATTCGGGTACCCTCTGGTAATTTCACAGTTTGCTATTGAACATGGCCCATTTATACTTGATTTACCTGTTAAAGATGGTCATTTTCCATAGCAAACTGTTAGTTTACCAGAGGGTAACTAGTGGATGTTCATCACAAGAGGATCTTATAGGTGCGATGGTCCGTCCCCAGATTCTTTTGGTTTCAGCTCTCTATCACGATTTATCTTCAAGGTCCCAACGAAGCGTGTTGGGGATACCGAGAATGTGTGTGCCCTGGCGGCGGAATGTTGCAGGCCGATAAGCTCATAAAGGAGGCTTTCCTGACTGCTAACTGGTTTATTGAGGACAGACCATCATTAAACGGATGCTCATTTACCGACTTACCAACCAGTATTTATTTGTGGGATGGGGTCGTAACGGGGTATTTTTCATGGCGCAGCCGATATTTCATGGGATGTTCTGGTCTAGGCGGGAGACTCGTGGAAAACTGGACTGGGTTTCTCCCGATGGCTTCGTGGCAATTTTTTTTGTACGTCACCAAGCTGACTTGACATGATTTTTATGATTTTTGATGGGTTTCTGCCATGTTTTTCACCCTGAAGCGCTTGGTGACTTGGTGACTTTCGATCGCGTGCCCACATCAACCATGGTCCATGGTGACGTGGCATGTTCTGAGAAGCTGTTCAATCTGGACATGCCCCGTTTCATCGCCTGTTTTTCCCATTACCAAAGAATTGGCCGCCCGTGGTTGGAAAATCCAGTAAGTTTCAGATGTGAAAATATCACTGGATTCATATGGGGTTTGATTTGCTGGACGTTGATTGTTTTGTGACTCCTGATTTGCTTTTTGCTGATGCTGGATCGGAGAGGGCCGCAGCCCATGAAGGGTGGATAGAGTTCCGATCCTTCAACAAAATGGCAATAAAAAATGGAAAATCCATCATTTAGTTCGATGATTTTCCCAGCGAACTAAACATCCATTTAGGTGATTTCCCAGCAACCAGGTTTGAAGACACCAGGGTCGGCGTTTCTGCTGAGGAAACAGCAGTGTCCGCAGTGTGAAGAGATGATCGACGAGGCACAGATTTTCGTCAATGGGTTGGTTAGCACAATAGATCTCAAGAATACTCGATATATCGATCTATCAATATGTCAATAGGTATATGTATATGTGTATATATGTCTATGTATATGTATATATATCTATATGTATATCTATATGTATATGTATATATATATATATCTATATGTATGTATATATATGTATGTGTATGTGTATATGATTGTATATGTATATGTATAATGTACATGGCATATCTATATATACACATACACGCATATACACACATATACACACATACATACATACATACATGCATTGCATTGCATTGCATTGCATACCATACCATACCATAACATTACATTACATTACATGCATGCATTCATGCATTCATGCATGCATCCATCCATCCATCCATACATACGTACATACATACATACAGACAGACAGACAGACAGTCATACATACAGACAGACAGACACACATACATACATACAGACAGACAGGCATACATACATACAGACAGACAGACATACATACAGACAGACAGACATACATACAGACAGACAGACAGACATACAGACAGACAGACATACATACATACATACAGACAGACAGACATACATACATACAGACATACATACATACAGACAGACATACATACAGACATACATACATACAGACAGACATACATACATACATACAGACAGACAGACAGACATACAGACAGACAGACATACATACATACAGACAGACATACATACATCCATACAGACAGACAGACAGACATACATACATACAGGCAGACAGACATACATACAGACAGACATACATACATACATACATACAGACAGACAGACATACATACAGACAGACAGACAGACATACATACAGACAGACAGACATACGTACATACATACATACATACAGACAGACAGACAGACAGTCATACATACAGACAGACAGACACACATACATACATACAGACAGACAGGCATACATACATACAGACAGACAGACATACATACAGACAGACAGACATACATACAGACAGACAGACAGACATACAGACAGACAGACATACATACATACATACAGACAGACAGACATACATACATACAGACATACATACATACAGACAGACATACATACAGACATACATACATACAGACAGACATACATACATACATACACACACACTTATCTATATACAACCGATTTACAGTAGATGTCTACCATCAAAGGTTAACCGGTTCACCATTGAAAGGATATCTTAAACTGCCAGCCTTGCGCGATCCATTTCTGGGACCCACATCCAACAAATGGCTTTTGAAGGATGCCTTTCCTGTTGAATCTGGCCATCAATATAATATGTTCCATGTTGAAGTAAAACATATATATATATATAATGTATAAATACAAATAATAGTTTCATCACAATAGGAGGGTTGATAAATACATTATGGTAATTTCATCTTACTTCATCATATTATCAAAATAGATTTCCATATTAAGAAAGGGTTGATAAATACAATGTGCGGCGTAGTTTATAACCACCATGAATACTACTTCATTGTAATCACCATAAACCAGAGTTATAGGCATGCTTACCAACTGGGCCATCATAAATAACAACAAACATCCCCTTGTTTGTTGGTTACCCTCTGGTTATGACTAACATATATAGCCATGGTATTGATGGCCCATAGAAATAGCTGGTTTATCTATGAAAAATGGGTGGATCTTTCCATGGCTATGTTAGTCATAACCAGATGGTATAGATGATGATCCCATATTTTCCCATGGTCCCATAATTTCACATCCCCTTCAGGGTGGGGCCCCCCAGTTATAAGTTGGTTTATAAACCATTATACCCTCCATTAACTATAGTTATATCTACCATAAACCATTGTTAAACCACTTATAAACCAACTTAGCTATCTTGGGGGCCCCATCCTTCGATTTCCCCAAAGCCGCAGCGCCCAGAAGCCGATTACAGTGACGGAGGGTGGCCGACTGAATGGTGACGCCTATGGCTGGGTGGGGTGCTCAGCGACCGCGGTGGGGTTGGGTTTCGGATTGAGGCATCGAACATGAGGATTGACAAAAACGAATTGAGTGAAGACCAAGAATGGGGATTTGGATTTTTTAGGGATTTGATTGGTATATGTATATATATATATGTATATATATATATGTATATATGTGTATATATATACACATATATACATAGCTAGGCGAGGTAACAAAAATGGGGCAAATAAGAAGTATGATAAGCTCCAACTGTTCTTTCGCCATGGAACAAATATTTAAGGGTTAACCAGCTGGTGGATCCAAGATGAGTGATTCACGCCATGCAAACTGATGAGTTAAGTGGGTCTTTAAAGCTAATGAACAGTGATTTTGGTGTACCCTCTGGTAAACTAACATAGCTATTCAAAATGGCCATTTATTGTGGATTTACCCATTAAAAATGGTGATTTTCCATAGCTATGTTAGTTTACCAAAGGGTAACACTAGCTGCACACATTTGAAGACTTTGGCCGGGGGCCCGCCAGGATTTTCTCACCTGCCCCGAGTGCGGATTACGGCAGAAGCACGGCTGGGATGACCACGACTAGGTGGCGGGGCAGCTTGCAGTCATGAGTTTTGACCAAAAAGTCTTGGTAATGGAGATATGAGTAGTACATCATAACTTGTAGAAATTACAACCAACCATCTGATATACTGGCAAAATATCTCCATTGTGATATTGTTAGAACTAGTAATATATTATATCAAAATATACTATTGGAACTATTATCTGATATTTGGTTAGTAATATATCAGATAGTTCCAATAGTATACTGAAATATAGTAATGTTCCAATTGTATATTATGACCCAATAATGGTATTTGAAATTACAACCAACCATCTGATATATTGGGTCATTTTTCGTTTTTTTTGCAGCAAAACAAGGGAAATTTCAGCGGTAATGTTATTGTGGATTCAAGAAAAATGGAGATTTGAACCGCAAAAATACGGCTTCAGCACCAATGGGGTTAAGACAGCACACACATATGAGAATAATAATAGTAATAATAATAGTAATAATAATAGTAATAATAATAGTAATAATAATAGTACTAATAATAGTAATAAAAATAGTAATAATAGTAATGATAATAATAATAACATAATATATATATAGTGTTTTAATCAGCAAAACATGGACTTTAGTCAGCCAGTTATGAACTGGTCATTCATTCTTGCTGGGTATCCCTTGATGCGTCTCAGATGTGGACGGCACCTCCCATAGTCATTCTTTGCTATGATCATACTTGTAGTAACCCCCAGAAAGGTAGAAAAGGTTCAATTCATCACTATTTGATTAGGATTTTACCAACTTCTGTCTTGACTTGGCGGTTGCTACATATTCAAAAAGATGGAACCAGTTCAATTAATCACTGTTTTGCGATTTTAGTAGGGTTTCACCACCAACTTTAATGATTTTAATGTTGTTTTTTGGTTTCTACATATTTCTTGCCGCCATGTTTCATCAAAGATGGCATTAACGGCAAGCACTGTTCTCCAATGCGGCAAGGTATGTTCTCCAGGCTGAACGCTGAGCTAACGAACTGGGGCACCACCTGTAGATAGACCATTTAAATTCCAAAGATTCCCAAAAGTTGAGACTATGGATGAGAAAATCCCAAGCTATTTTTCTAGATATTTGCGGCCCATGATTTTTACAACGCCCACCTTCCCAAGAACTGCAGCGCCCTGTACAGTTGGCTGTGCCTTGAAAAACATCCCAGCGTCGTGGATGGTTCAACCAAAGCCATGGACGAAAATGTCAAGCTGGGCTGAATGGGACCGAGCCTAGTTTCGTGTTTCAGATGGCCCGCAGATGGCATTTTTTTTTGGCATCTTATGGGGTGGGAAAGGTTTCTATCCTGAATCAAATGGAGTCTCCAGTTTGTTAATCCGGGGTGGACATTCTGAAGCCTAGTTTGGCCAAGTCTCAATGCTGGGACCGAGACCTATACTTCATGATACAGCCCTAGGATATCCTACCTATACTGGGTAAAACATGCTGATTGACTCGTACCCTCATGGAAGCTGGTTCCTCTCCTGACCATTCCCTTCAACTTCAGCTGACGCCAAGGGAGTCCAGCTTGGACTTCTTCACCTTCGTTATTCCATGCCCGTCTCTAGTAGCCACGGCATAGTAGACCTTCATGCTCTTTGTGATTTTCCCCCATTCTGCCGAAGGGCAGGCATTGGATATCCTACAGGTTACACCTTTGCGCGAGTTTTTTTTTCCACTCCTAGGGGATGTTTTTCCCTATGCCAGATGTGTGTGGATGTTGAAATTCCCATGTTTGTGTTAGCCACTATTTGGCCAGCATCTACTCACCATTTGCCAACCACTCATGCTTTTCCCACCGTTTACCCCAAGAAATAGACCCTTCCAATAATACCCTCTGGTAAACTAACATAACTATGGAACATCACCTTTTTTCATGGGAAAACTCGAAAACTCACTATAAATGGCCATTTTCAATAGCTATGTGGCTGTTTACCAGGCCGGCTATGGGGGGTCTTGGGAGAGTGCTGTCCTCAAAACTGGCCTGTCTGGCAACGACGCCTCCAGGACAGTGATATTGCGTCCCAATATGGCGATCGCTGCCGGCAAAAAGGGGCATGACTTTGATGAGCCATAAAGTTAGGGAATGGGCTACCCTCTGGTTATGTCAAAATAGCTATTGAAAATTGCCATTGATAGTGAGTTTTCCCATGAAAAAAGGTGATTTTCCATAGTTATGTTAGTTTACCAGAGGGTAATGAGCCATAAAGTTAGGGAATGGGCTACAGAGTGGGGCCTAACTGGTAGCTAAGTAGCTTTATATATTTATGAACACCTAAAGTTGAGGCGTAATTTTCGCCAGAATTGAACCAGGAAACATCGAAACGGTGATTCTGAGGATGAGACATTTCGTTTTTTGAAACAACAAAAAAACACATTTTTGAACAGGTCCACTTATCTGTATCTAAACATAATATATATTAAGCGTAGCATATATATTTTTAGAGGATGCATTTTTCAAGAATCGGCAGCATTTGGCTGTCGGACTTGGGTTGACATTTCGTAGCACCAGAAATTGGATGATGTCAGAACCCTGGCGGAGTGGAACCATGGCTTTGATTCAGTGCTTAAGAATCATGGCTACGAGAACTTGTCTCAGTTTTTGATTCGATTGATGGTTCAAGCTTTGCAGCAGTGATGGGGACGATGGGTGCTACTGTAGCAGCCATAAGTGGAACATAGTGGAAGTTCCCCAGGTATACATGGGATATCCCCAGCAACATAGAGGGTTTTTTTTTAACCATTTACTAACTGGGATACGCATCCAAGTGAGGGAGTAGTGCCATCTCAAGTCTTACATCTTCTGAACTCAGCATACCCATTACAAAGTGGTTGCCCGACTGACATGAACACCCCAAAATGGAGTCTTGAAGATGCTTCTTAAAAATCGCAATCGATTTTTTCAAGGCTTCCACCTTAGTAGATGAGTATTCAGGGTGGTTCTAATCAAAGTATGATTCCACGCTCTGGGCTCTGAGAGGCCTCTAGCCTCTGTAGTCAGCCCACAATGTGCCATGCGTGTGCCGTGTGCATCCATGGCACGTCACGCCTTTGGTCGGACGAAACCGTGGGAACGACTCCGAGGCGAGGGTCGACAGCTGGATTGCTAGTTGCTTGCGCTTTGAAGCAACAAAGATGAGTAACTTCATGTGGGAACATGTCAAGTTAGTAGGATTATATATATTTATATATAGTATATATATATACACAGTCTATAAGTTACTTTCTAGTTTGGATTATATTTATATACGTATATATATATACATATATATATAGAATATACACTGTTATATTCTCATATTGGGGGATGGTCATCCATGATGTTTGGTGGCTCCCACCTTGAGGTTGGCGACAACGCTCTCGCTGGTTGGCCAACCAGACAGAGGTGTGAGCGGGGTCATGGTATAATGGTCATGGCTGTTAATGGGTTTAATGGAATTTAGTGGAATTTAGTGGAATTTAATGGAATTTGGTGGAATTTATGTGATGATAGTGGGAAGATGTGTTTGGATTAACTGGAATTGAGGGAATTGAATATAGGTTTTATTTATTATTATTTGATGTTCATGAATATCAATGAATGTTCTATCTATGGTTGATGGATTGTAATGGTATATCACCATAAATCGGGATTTGTCCGGGAAAAAATCGGCATATGATGGGATATATAACCAATTCATAAATTCATTCCAAAAATGAATCACATTTAGTTCAATGAATTTCCCAGCTGTTTTTTCTTCCATTTGGTTCGGGGATGTCCCAGTTTAAGCCCTGTTTGATGTGTCATAAATACGGTGGTCTTAGCTTTTACCCTCCGGTAAACATACAAAAAGCTATTGAAGATTGCCATAGAAATAGTTGATTTAATTAAACATTGTATTCAACCCATTAAAATTGGTATTTCTACATATTAGAAATGGTATTTTGTCCGAGAATGGCCCGTGTCTGAGAATGGCCAATTTATAGTTATTCCCAACAGCAGGGCCTGTTGGGTTTCAATCTCTAGGGCTGGGGCTGGCTCGCGGGGACTTGCAGCCTTCAAAATCCGGAATGGAACCCTGGAACCCTGGAACCCTGGAACCCTGAAACCTTGGAACCCCGGAACCCTGGAACCCTGAAACCTTGGAACCCCGGAACCCTGGAACCCTGGAACCCTGGAACCCGGAACCCTGGAACCCTGAAACCCTGGAACCTTGGAACCCTGCGACCGTGGAACCCTGAAACCTTGGAACCTTGGCACCCAGGAACCCTCAAGGATTCTGGAACCCTGCAACCTTGGAACCTGGAACTGGAACCTTGGAACCCTGCAACCCTGCACACCTGGCACCCTGCTGGGATCCTGGAACCCTGGAACCCTTGGAACCCTGGAAACCTTGGAACCCTGAAACCGTGGGACCCTGGTACTCTGGAACCTTGGAACCCTTGAAACCCTAAAACTTCCAAACCCTAAACTCTATGCGCGCTGCGCGCGCTGCATGCAATAAAGTAAACCCTAAAACTTCCAAACCCTAAACACTAATGCGCGGTGCGCGCGCTGTGTCCCAGAGAAGTAAACCCTAAAATTTCCAAACCCTAAACCATCGTGTTATGCAACTTCCAAACCCTAAAGTTTAACCCGCGGTGTGCGCGCTGCATGCAATAAAATAAACCCTAAAACTTCCAAACCCTAAACCCTAATGCGCGCTGTGCGCGCTGCGTGCCAGAGATAAACCCTAAAACCTTCAAATGCGCGCGCTTTGTGCAATAGAAATAAACCCTAAAATCTTGAAACCTGAAACTCTCGTGTCATAGAGGTAAACCCTAAAATTTGCAAACCCTAAACCCTAAACCCTAACGCGTGCTGCGCGCGCTGTGTGCCATAGAAGTACCCCTTAAAATCTCCAAACCCTAAACCATCGTGTCATGGAGGTAACCCTAAACTTCGAAACCCTAAAGTTCAACCCACGCTGTGCACGCTGCATGCAATAAAATAAACTATAAAACTTCCAAACCCTGAACCCTCATGCGCGCTGCGCGCACTGCGTGCCACACACATAAACCCTAAACCTTTCAAACTTTAAACCGTAACGCGTACTACGCGTACTGCGCGCACAGCCTGCCATAGAGGTAAACGGTAAAACTTTCAAACGCTGCGTGCCATAGAGGCAAAGCCTAAAACTTTCAAACGCTTAACCGTAAAGCAGGCTGCGCGCGCTGCGTGCCATAGAGTGCTCCTCAAAAGTGATTACAGGGGTATGATATTTAGTCAGGCATGGTTCCCTTCAGTCATGCACGATTTTTGCAAAAATTCTATTTAGGCACGACCCCAAAATCCCAGCCCGGCAAATTCCGGCCCGGGCCCGGCAAATTCCGGCCCGCGCCCTGCAAATTCCGGCCCTGCATTTTTCCAAAATCAGGCAAAACCAGTAGATCAGGTATTAAGTCAGGTGTAGTTACCCTTTTAAGTCATTAAGGCTAGTCAGGCATGGTTCCAGTGGGTACCTTTTAATTGTGAAGCCTAGTCAGGCATGGTTCCCTGAATTCAGGGGCATGGGTACCTTTTAATTATGAAGGCTAGTCAGGCATGGGTTTTGTTAGATCAGGCGTGGGTGGGTACCTCTTAATTATGAAGGCTAGTCAGGCATGGGTACCTTTTAAGTGATGAAATCTGAATCAGGCGGAGCTCCTATTCTAAATGTGTTAAATCCAATTGTTCAGTGTGGAAAATCGATTTTTTGGCTGGTCTACGGGCAAACCCTGTGTCTTCCAATACCATAGCGTGCTGATGTCGCTTGCCTGCATCATAGTTAAGGCCAAAGCTTAGGTCATCAGTGTGATCCTGAAATGGCGCCACGACCAAGAAGATGACATGTGTAAAATGGGCCCTGGATTAACAAAGGCTGACTAATGAATTTGGAGGATGCCACTAAAGTATGAAATCATCCCAAAAGAATCCAATAATTCTAGCAAGTGATGCCTGACCAATCCCTGCGTCATAATAAACCGTCTGCCCCTCCCCACCCAATAATGAAGACACGGAATAGTTTTTTGTATTTAGTGGGTATTAAGTATGAGGGTGCGAAACTTCCCCCTTGGTTAAAAAAACTAAGTTGGAAAACATTTTTTAAATAACATCTAACTAAAATATTGCCAAACTTGGATTCCGAAGCTTCCCCCTGACATTAAATTGAAAACATTCGTTTACAAAAATGAACTTTATATTTCAAAACCGATTGAATTCCTGTTCAAAATCTAACTCAAATCTTGCCAAATTGGATTTCGAAGCTTCCCCTCAGATTAAATTGAAAACCTTACTAATCCCCACCTCCTTTTACTAAAGGTACCCTGGATACTAAAATATTACATTGATTCCTTTTACTAGGGTCCGCGTTAAATTTTGGGAAATTTCAGGCTGGCCAATTTGACTTTTACTTGATACCTTTTCAAAAACAAATTAAACATGAAGGTCCCATTTCAGGATTTCACCACCAAAAAATAAAAACTAGTCAGCCCCGGTGATTTTTTAAACTAGGGTCTTTTAAGGTCGAAAAAATAAGTATTTTATATTACAACCTTTATATAATATTGGGGGAAAACTTCGAAATCCACTTTTTGGCATTTCCTGGCAATATCTTTGCTGGATGTCAAAAGGAAATCTAATCGATTCTTGAAATCGAAAAAACATAGTTTTTTTATTACTGTTTTTAATTTAATCTTAGGGGAAAACTTCGAAATCCAATTGTTAGCAATATCTTAATTATATGTTAAACAGAAAACTAATCGATTTTGAAACAGTTTTTTTAAAAATATATTAGGGCTGGTAATTTAATATTAGAGGAAACATTTCGAAATCCGGTTTTTGTTTTTATTTTTGTTACTACAATTTAAAAGGAAATCGAATCGATTTCAAAAAAGAAAAAATAATATTTTATATTAGGGTTTTTTAATGTAATATTAGGGGAAAACTTCAAAATCCAATTTTTGACCATATTCTAATTAGATTTCAAAAGGAAATCTAATGAATTTTGATATAGAAAAAATAGTCTTTGATATGAGGGTTTAATATGAGGGGAAAGTTTCGAAATCCAATTTCTGGCAATATCTTAATTTGAATTTACAAGGAAATCTAATCGATTCTGAAATAGAACAAATTTAGTTTTTTATATTGGATTTTTTCATGCAAGATTAGGGGAAGTATCGAAATCCAATTTTTGAACATATTTTAATAATTGGATTTTAATTTGATATTAGGGGAAAGCTTCAAAATTATTTTTTTGTTTTTTTCATTAGATTTCAAAAGGAAATCTAATCGATTTTGAAACAGGAAAAAAAACAAAATGATATTAGGGTTTAATATAACGGAAAAGCTTCGACATCCAATTTTTTGGCCATATTTTATTTAATTTTTAAAAGGAAATCTAATCGATTTCGAAATAGAAAAACATACATAGTTTTTTATGTTGGGGGTTTTTATTTGATATTAAGCTTCGGAATCCACTTGTTTGCCATATTTTAATTGGATTTAAAAAGAAAGAAATCTGATCGATTTTGAAATAGAAATATGTGTATATATATATATGTGTGTGTGTGTGTTTTTTATCAGTATTAGGGGGAAGCTTCGTACCCTAATACTAAAGACCCCCCCAATACTAAAAACTCCTCCAGGTGTTTGTTATTTGGGTGGGTGGGTGAAGGGGCGACTGTTTAGCAACAGGGGGAAGGGATTAAACCGTTTTTTGTTTCTAATTTCAAAATCCATGAAAATAATCTTTAAATAGAATATTGCCAAGAATAGGATTTCGAAGCTTTCGCCTAGTATCAAATAAAGCACCAACACCTGAATTAAAAAAACTAAAATTGACGATTTTAAAGGACGGACCGCAATAAAAGACACCCCGGTGTTGACTAGTTTTTTATTCTTTGGGGGTGAAACCCTCACATGGTACCTTCATTTTTAAAATTGTTTCCTCAAGGGGATTAATTAAAAATCAGATTAACCAATTTGACATTTCCCAAAATTGGAAATCGCACCTAGTTTTTGTCATTTGGGGGTATTTTTCGTAATAGGGAGAAAGGATTAGCAAAATGAATGCCTGATCAAAATGATGCTGATTCTGTGTGTTACAATCTTTTTGCCCACTACAGTGTCTACAGGGTTACAAGGGATGCCGTGCCAGCTAGAGTCCCAAGTCCATTCAACCAACACCCTAATCGATGAAGTTGGACTTGTCGAAATGGAAGTGGGACTGGACCAGTTGACATGGGGCGATGCTGACCTTCAACGGGAGCTTCGGCGCCTGAAGGACAACAGTTTGAAAATTCCGAACCTGAAATATATTTTCAAAATTGCCTTACTAAGAGTGATCCCCACCCTAACACACTATTCTGACATAGTTTCCGATATATTATCTGGACGTATATGTGGCATATATGCTCTGACATACTATCTTACATTCTTTTCTGAGATTCTATTTGACATTCTTTCTGGCATCCTATCTGGCATCTATTCTGACATACTTTCTGGAATATACTATATTCTGATCCTGCCTTGCCATGAGTTTGGGCTGGGAGTGCTTTTATTTGCGTGGATCAATACCAATGGCTTGAATATCCACCAAATGTTGGTTTCACATGTTTGCACCCAATGATTGCCATTACCATTGATACCCCAAAATGGCCAGGTCCTGAATTTGAGAGTAGGTCCTGAAAAGTTTTCTGGGTACTGAAAAAACAGGACTTTGGCACAGGGTCTGAAAAAAGACGTAGGTGGAAGATTCAGGTATGCTGTTGGGTTGCAAAGCTGGGTTAATGTAAACGTTTACCAGAGGGTAAACATTTGGCCATTCTCAGACACGACCAAACATCGGATTTTGGGACTTGCGCCGTGCAAGCGCCTGGGGCCACCGTGTTGCCATGATAAATTTTCATGGCAACACGGTGCTACAGTTGCTACATGAAAAATTGATGTATGATAGTTGATATGATACATAGACACATATATATATGTATATATATATATGTAGATATGTATGTATGTATGACATATGATCGTAAAGATAATGATAGTTGTATTGTTGATATGACATATGGTATATGATAAAGGATATGATAAATGCTGGACGGGATTGGATCTATTCCTATCCCAAAGATTGCCTCAGGAAACCTCCTCGACTTCTCGGTTGCCTCTCAGTCGGGCTTCACAGTGCCCCATGAAAGCCTTGGGATGTGGGTGATTTCGTCCAAATTCCTGAATCTCAACATTCAACTATTGTACCATCCCCAATTAACATAGACCCTGAGAATCCACAAGTTTTTGGAGGAAACAGCTGTTTTCCAAGCCCGAAAAATTGCAGGGTCGAGCTGACGTCCATTTTCGAGGGTCAACCTCCAATTCTATGGCTTTTCTGGTCGGACATCTCACGAATGGGGAGAATCATAGGTTTAGACCCATCCCCATATTAATGATACTTCCTATCATACAGGGATTCGATATTTAGCATATTCCTAATCATAATCAATAATTTTATACATCATAAATCACAAATCTCACATATATTTATAATCATAATATATCATAATCATCATGATCATCATAAACATAGTCATAGTCAGAATCATTAGAAGTATGAATCATCATGAACACACCATCATATTGATACCACTGTGTTCACTGGATTCCCCACTTTTTCAGGCTTGAAAAATGTCATAGCTCAGTTCACAATCCAAGGGTGAGCACTGTTCAAAATCCTTGTTGCTGATGATTCTATGGGGGTTTAACGGTGTTTCAAACGGTTATACAGTTATACAAAGTTATACATACTAATCAATATATTGGGGACTGTCACACATGATGGAAATCCCTTTTCACCAGCTTAATGAGTCATGACATGACTTGGGTACGTGAAAACCACTTGCCAAGTCCTGGGATAATCCTCAAATTATGATTAAATAATCTATTTTTTGAACCATGATGAACCATGATTAACCACTATATAGATCTCATTCAATAGGGAATAACCGTTATAATCATAATTGTTCATTATTAGCCATAATTGATCATTATTAATCATTATTAACAATTGTTACTCATAATTGATCATAACTAATCATTATGAACCAGTATGAATCATTGTTAGCCATCATTCACCATGCTGATCCTCCAGTCGTAGCCCCTTTGAGGCAAAGGCTTAGAGTCGCGCTTGCGACAGCTGAGTTGGTTGCCGCTCACGGAGGCCACCCTGAAGGCTTCCAACGGCAATCAACGGCAACGGGTGGTGGTGCGGAGCCGGGTCGAAACCGAAGAAACCTAAGAAATCCGATACTATTAATGGTTAATTTATCTAATTTGTCATTAATAATGGTGATATATCATATCTATAATCAACAAGGGTTAATAATTATCATTGGTATATGATTGCTATATTATTGTTATTATCACCCAGTTATGTAGGTAAATTCCATATTAATAAACCATATGAAATATCTATGATAAACCATATGAAAACTATGGCATTTCCGTACTGTGGGCTGCGAAATCCCATTGTCATCCCATCCATTCTGACCAATAACCACTTTTTTTAAACAGTCATAGCACCCACCCCCCAAAAAAGATAGAAACCTCATTTATTACTCTTTTAGTAGGATTTGACCAACTTCTATCTTTTCTTGGGGGCCTGCTATACAGAACATTAGTTTATTGGGCAACGCGGACTCCCCACCTTTGAGGTTTGCCGAAATATATCGATGTCAAGAACGGCCGGAGCTGTCATGGTCGGATGAGTTGTTTTTTTTTGGATTTGACGCTTTGACCTTGTCCCAGACATAGAGTTGAAATGGAAATGCAATAGCCCTTTCTACCAGTGGAAAGGATCTGCTTGGATGTGTTTTCCCGAAGTTTGCACAGATTTTGCGTTGCATTCTGTGCCGCATTCGCTTGTGGTGATCGCAGCCATGGGTAAATGTGTTGGAGGGCCCAAGTCAGAGACAAGAGTGAAGACAGACAGCGAAGAAAGCACCAGCTCTAAGACTCTAAGAAGGAGAAACCAACCCACAAAGTCATGGAGAGATAGAGTTGGAGTTGAAGATCGAGCTGGAGCAATTGAAGATCAAAAAAATGACAATGAAGAAATCAGCTAGCCAGACCAAGAGCAAGAAGAACTGGTGTTATCATAAGGGCTTCGCTAAATGTACCTATCCGCAGTCGAAGGGCAAGGACAGTCGAAGACACCACATGGCAGTCATATCCACCACACGACGCTCCGGAAGAAAGTGGGTAGACAGCTCACGATGAAGATTTTTTTGCCAGATCCACGTTGCTTCAACAATGTCTACGACTGGACTACATGGATTCCCTAAATCAATAGATACAATAGATCCCATAGATCCAATCAGGGTTTCGTTTCGGGGGGTATTTGATAATTTATCCCGATCATCCCCAGGATATCCCCAAGTATGGTCATATTTACCATGAAACATCCCATTAAGATCCATCAAATCTTCTTAAATCTCCTTTCGTCTTGGTTACATCCCATTAAATCCACCATTTTTGTTGGTTAAATCCCGTTAAATCCCCTTAAATCCACCATGTTTGTTGGTTAAATCCCGTTAAATCCGCCATTTAAGTACCATCAAATCCCATTCTAACCTTCATTTATAGTGGATTTTCCGTGATTTTCCAATGAAATCCATCATTTTATTGGTCGTTAAGTCACCAAAAATCCCCCCGTGGCCCCGGGCTCAGTTGCTTCGTCCGGTGCTGGAGGGTCGTGATGTGCTGGCGGTAATGCCGCGAGGTGCAAAAAGGGCAGTGGGCAAAATCCATGCTTTCGATATCTACCCTCTGGGTAAACTAACATAGCTATGGAAAATCACCATTTTCAATGGGAACATCAACTATAAATGGCCATTTTCAATAGCTATGTTAGTTTACCGGAGGGTATGTTAATCATGAATGGTTCATATTCATAATAATAAATAATAATAATAATAATAATAATAAATAATAATAATAATCATGATTTTCCATATTATCATATAATCATGGTTAATAACAATAATACTAATGATTGTCCATATTATTATATAATTCATGGTTAGTAATATGGGGATTATTAATGGTTAACAATGGTTAATACTGGTGAATAATGGTTAGTTATTTAGAACACTATTCTAGGGTAAGCCCCCAGAGTCAGGGCTTAGGAATCCGGGATAGACAAGATCAAGTGTCACCGTGTAGGATTGGAAGCCAACACTTTCAAGCGACTCCAACAGATCATTTTTTCCTACGATGGGGATGTAATGCCGAAGAGGATACGTTGGTTTTCAACAGAGGGACTCTTCACTCTGTAAACTATGTTGGTGAATAGATGTGAATAGGGACGCCCACAATTTAGCAGGTTTTTCTACAGATGTTTTTCCCAATATTTCACTCGAAGGAAACACATGGTGGGTTTTTTCAGGGGAACACGCTTGCGCAAACTGCGAAATGAGATGCGCCAGTTGAGGCACCATGATGTGCACCCAGTGATTGCAAAGCTTCCAGGTATCACTTGTATCCCTTGTGATGTTGAATCGCCACCATTCATATACTATGTATTTGTGCACATGGAATTCCAAGTTTCACAAGCTGACCCTGGATCACTTGTAGCCTCTAAAACAAACATTTTCAGATTTGCAGGGTACTCAATGACTCCTATCTCCACAGGTCGATCGAGGCTCCTGGGATATTTGCTGCCTTTACTGGACAAGATGAAAACGGAGAGGCGAAGAACGTGGGAATTTGAGGCAAACATCGACGTTGAAACGAAACGAGCAGACAAAAACAAAACGCTTCAATCAAGAACAAGCAAGAAACAATGGTGATAAAATGGGAACACACATATACAAAATGGGTATTCCCAACAGTGGTGACTGTTGGGTTTCTACCCATCTCTGGGAGTCGTCGTACTTGTGAATCATCAGTACCCAAATTTTGGTCGTCGCTGCTTAGGAGCTGTGAATTGATGGCGTGAAATCCTCGTTATACTGGAGTATAAATCTGGGATGTATGTCTACTTATAATCTGGGATGTAGGAAATATTTTGAGTAGAAAATTCATAAGTATCCCACTATGACTGGCAAGCTAGTAAAAAAATGTTCCAGTTACATCCCAGTTTTATGTCATCACCCTGATATTCAATAGCCCTTTTAGGGCTCCAATATGGCTCCAAAATCCAATCCATTCCACCAAGCAATTTTCGGGATCATCCCCTAATTGTTGAATTTTAAACTTGCCCCTTATGAACCCAAAACATCCCATTATAGTTATATAGAGGAAGGCCCCCCTTCAGACAGTGAAGTTGGTTTAGTTCACTCTTGGCTAACTGGGTTGAAGAGGTTGATATCAAATGCTTAGACGAGATGCCATATACCATAAACAGAACTTGAAGGCCTTCGTTTACCAATTGGTTCATTTTCACTTTACCCCTTGAATGGGCGTAAAAAATCCCATACATATCCCAGGAGTATCATTGATATGCCACATTTTCATCTTGTAAACTCTCCGTCCTATTTTTTTTCTTTGGACCCGGAGAATTTACAGGATTAATAAAGCGATATCAATGGTACGTTATAACGTGTTATAATTACGATACTATCAAATATCATAACTTGCTGGTGGTTTCGCATCTTCTTTTGTTTCCAACCATAGAATTGGGATGATCATCTCACAATCCCCGACGAGGCTCGCAGCTTTTTCAGGGGGTTGAAACCAGCAGTACGAGGCCTCACATTTCAGGTTGGTCTATTAGTGGGTGATGACAAAAAGTGCTTGGTCTAAACAATAGATGGCCGAACATCAGTAACCATGGAATTAAATTAACCATAGAATTAACCATCATTGATAACCATTAATCGCCATAAAACTAACCCTGCCAAAAACTGACCGCAGGTGGTCGCCCGATGAGACGGTGCTCGTGCTGCTGCCGAAGCGCAAAGACGCCGAGAAGGTGCGAGCAAAGCACGGCAATTTTAGTAGATCTTTAGGATTTTAGATGGGTTTGTCTGAAAATAAGGTACCCCTAAATCTTTTGGTTTATCATCATTTTTCCTATTCAATAGCATGTTTTTTGGGGTATACGGTATACCGGTGTACCCCATTTCCAGACACACCCAGATGAACTAAGGTTCAAGTGACAGCATTTTTTTTTTCGGATCTTTTTTGTTTTTCTGAAGTTTCTGCATCTTTTTTGGTGTTGCCACATAGTATACATGTGGATTTGAGCAAAAGCGAAGATTACCAACTTTTCTGGAAATCCTAGCAATTAACGGGGTCACACAACCCACCGATAGGTAGCGCCTCAGTAGAGTTAGATGAAACGTGAGACCCAAACACGCAAGCACCCACAGATTTGCAGTTGCATTCGACTTGGATTTCTATGAACATGTCAGGGCACATACGAACCTCTAGATTTATATATATATATACACGTCTAGGTATATATATATAATATGTATACATCTATATTATATGTATACATATACATAATAAATATATATATATATATGTATACATATACATACATATACACATACTGAATTTGTATAACTACCATTCTTGGGATGCACGTCTTGCCAGATCTCTGCATGTTTCATGTGCCGTTGCGGCCATGCAGTTTCGCAAAGGCATACACCACCAGCAACGTTTTGCGTGGCTCGGAGTGAAGTGGGTCTGTGTCAGTGGGCTGAATCCTCATAGACAGAAGTTTTAATGAGATATCTAATGGGATACACGTGCAATATGTATATATATATAAATATGACCAGCAATATGATATGGGAATTGTTAACAATGGCTATTTTAAACAATGCCAATTCCGAATCTAGACATGTCAATCAACAATGATAAGGATATTAAGGATCTAGTCGGAGATGGCATCTGTACCCAACAATACGATTAATGGGTTTGTCCCAAAGTGGGGGATTGGCCTTAAATTTACGGCTATGATTTTGATGGAAACGAAAAAACTTGCCAGTGGGTGGCCTGAAAAAACTGCTGGGTATGGACCCCATGGCACATCGGCTTTGGGATTTTGGAGGCATCTTGGAACGACCTGATGCTGTATCCCAATTGAGAAGTAGTTGAGTAATACGTGTTCGAACAAAAAAACATAAAAAAATCACGAAGTTACTAACAATTAACATCCATTGACATCCATAAAAGCTACCATAGATATAAGGGCTATATATATAATATACATATCCCAACGTTATGGGGCTATGATTCTCCAAGCAGGGTGGGCTGACCTCTTTCGACCAAGGGAAGTGGTCCTTGCGTACCATCCTGGCTGGAGACGGTGGGGAACCCAGCGGCCCCATAATTCGGCCGAACTTTACGAAAATCATGGACAAAATGGGTAAGAGATATGAACATATGTATATATGTTCCATATATCTGGGTAAATTATAAAGGGGAATCATCATGATCCATATATATATAGATAATGATATAATGAATATATATATATATATCAACATACGAACACATGGTCCATATATGGTCCATATATGGTTAGGATTCGGGGAATCATCCCCAAGAAGAAGCCTTATTTCAGGTTTGTGATTTATCATAATTTACCCAGATATATGCATATCATATGTATATATATATACCATAAACCATAGTTCATTGATATATATCATGATATAATGAACCATGATATATCATGATATATCAATATATCATCATGATATATTGTGATATGACATGTATACGTATATATATATATACATATATATACACATATATATACATATATATTAGTCAGTATGTATATAATTAATTGTATTATTATTGTATATATATATACGTGTCATATACACATAATATACATATATTGTACACAGGTAAACATGTGTTTGCCGATATTGTGCTTCATGCATCCGCTGGAGGATTAAAATCCGCTTGTTGGTTCATCCCATGTAGTGAGTCCGTTGGAAGCCCAACTCCCAATGTGGACGTCATGATATTTATCCAACTTATTTCTATGTATACAACCCTCTTACAGAACGGGATACTCCACAACGTGACTTGTTATCTGATGGAGCAATCAAGATATCTCCTTTGGCATGGATAAGTTTGCATGAGGCTGCCATGGAACAGTGGGCTGAACCAGCATATGATTTTTTAATCAAATTATACTATAAGAAATGCTGACATGGATGATATATAGCACATGGAACATTATTTTTTTTTTTCGAAAGGTTTAACACATTGGGCGGTTCTTTTACTAAACCCACAGTTGCGAAAATACACACGTTCCATCACGTTCCGACGTTGGTTCGCTACAGATCGATTCTTTTCCCATCGTGGACGGTTACATCCCAGTTGAGGACTGTCCTAATCTTACTGGTTGGGTGATGGATGCCTAAGATTGATTTAAAGAGTCTCCAGGAAACCAGTTGGTTTATTGGGGGGATGAACATCCATAAATGTTTTTCTTACTTCGAGGATTTGTGCGGAAAAAAATATCAGGGTGTTGACCCCCAAAAAATTGGACACCAATTGCTAAATTTGCTATGACCTATAGACACCCTATTGTGACCCTATACCAATTGTTACAAAATGACCAATCTCTACACTTGCGGAAAGCTATCAGGGTGTTGAGCCACAAAAAATTGCTACCCTCTGGTAAACAAACAGTTTGCTATTGAAAATGGCCCAGTCGAAATAGTGGATGTTCCCATTAAAAATGGTGATTTTCCATAGTTTTTGGTATGTTTTTCCCATTAAAAATGGTGATTTTCCATGGTTTTTGGTATGTTTTTGGTATGTTTACCAGGCCGGGAAAATCTCTCCATTCCAAGTGGAGCTTTCCAGCTTTCCGTCGAGGCGGCGACATCTCGAAGCGTTCGCAGTTGGCCTTGCTGCGGCGCGGCGCGCAGCTGGTGGTGTGCACGGCGCAGCGGTTGAAGGTGATTTCCTTCGGGTCCTGTTGATTTTACCCGGCCTGGTAAACATACCAAAAACTACGGAAAATCACCATTTTTAATGGGAAAACTATGGAAAGATCCACCATTTTTCATGGGAAAACTATGGAAAGATCCACCATTTTTCATGGGAAAACTATGGAAAGATCCACCATTTTTCATGGGAAAACTATGGAAAGATCCACCATTTTTCATGGGAAAACTATGGAAAGATCCACCATTTTTCATGGGAAAACTATGGAAAGATCCACCATTTTTCATGGGAAAACTATGGAAAGATCCACCATTTTTCATGGGAAAACTATGGAAAGATCCACCATTTTTCATGGGAAAGAACTATGGAAAGATCCACCATTTTTCATGGGAAAACTATGGAAAGATCCACCATTTTTCATGGAAAACTATGGAAAGATCCACCATTTCATGGGAAAACTATGGAAGATCCCCATTTTTCATGGGAAAACTATGGAAAGATTCACCATTTTCATGGGAAAACTATGGAAAGATCCACCATTTTTCATGGAAAACTATGGAATCCCCATTTTTCATGGGAAAACTCCACCCATGGGAAAACTATGGAGTCACCATTTTTCCCATTTTTCATGGGAAAACTATGGAAAGATCCACCATTTTTCATGGGAAAACTATGGAAAGATCCACCATTTTTCATGGGAAAACTATGGAAAATCCACCTTTTTCATGGAACAGCACTATTTCGACTGGGCCATTTTCAAGTTCGCGAAGTGTTGGTTTACCAGGCCGGGTATGTCCTGAAACAATATCCGATTTTTGGGACCATTTGGGACAGATTCTTTTGACCAGGGACTTCTTAAGGATATAAACTATGTGAATCTATGTGAATCTATGTTATAGTTATATCTATATTTCCAACAAAAATCAGAAGAACATCTGGAATTAGTCACTGGATTCGCAAATTTGAGGTCCACATATCCAGACATGTGGTTTTCCTGTGGTCAATCGGATCCCTGAAATTTTCCTGGTTGCAGTTCCTCGGATCCGATGGTTCACTTCATCGTTTCCCCCAAACGACCGTCCTTTGAAGTGCTACTGACTTGACTGAAGCCCAGACTTCCTGTGACTGAGAGACCACCTTTTTCGATATAGATCTGGCATTTTCCCACATATATCATCAATTACCACGTTTTCAACTTGAAATATCTGCACATGGCAAGCTTTAAAGTGATACTTTTCCAAGCATCAAAAAATACATGACTCCTCAAAACTGGGATTACCCCATCACTTTTTGCTTTGGAGAAAACACCTCCAGCTGATGATATTCATTGAAAAAACCTGGGTTCGGTTCACCATCATTTCTGCCCGCCACCCGTCAGGAGCTTCTACAGGAAGGCGTCATTTTCCAAAGCATCGCTGCCAAACCGCCGGCGGATGGGGTACCAGCGCCACACAGGGTGCGCCTGCGCTGCGTCGTGTTGGAAGATGTGGAAGAGACGCTTGGATTTGGAGGTGGGAGGGACTTTAAATCACCCAAATGAGGTTCCGGTGTCATCAAACATGGCTGGAAAATTCCCTATAGATAGAAGTTTTATGGGAAATTCATCGAAAAAATAAGGGATTTTCTCTTGCCATTTGCCATGTTTGACTACTGGAGGGGCGCAACCCACATGGATTTGAGCGTAAATGGTGCAGATGGTTGGCCGGGATGGGCTAGCCATAAAAGCGGGTTGGTGGCGATATCAAGATGTGACCATCAAGCAGTGGCTTGTGGATAGTGATGGGTCTCACTCATATCTACTGTGACCTCTTGTAACTTAGCCTGGCACGGAAACATCTCCCCATGTATATATATATATTTTATAATTATATATAAACAATATATATATACACATAAATACATGATTTTAGCATACAGTAATTAAACATGCATATATTGTCGATTGTTGTTTTTCGGTTATATAAATCTTGTATTTCCCATTGCCGGATTTGATGGCAGGAGACAGACTAAATGTGGAGATGGATTTGAGTTTATCCGCGAGACATGTCATTCGCTAGGATTTGCTACTCTATCATCTAGAAGTGCTATCATCTACTCCAGAAAGAAATGGGTCTTTGTTAAATGAACAAGAGGCATGGAAGATGTTAAATCTGCTGCTCATTCAGGTATGATCCTTAGATATGGTACTCCAAGATCAATATAAGACCCATATATTTTGGGCACATCTACAACTTGAGTACCCGAAATGGCGCCTTACTGTATAAAGATCGGTATTCTTTTTTTCAATTCGGTATAGAAATCAATCCATGAAATCCCCTGTTTGTTCGGGTCCAACGGGTCCAACACCAGGGTTGTCACCGTCACAAAAGGGGCCATAGGTGGAAAATTTTCGTCGACCTTTCGAGACATTCATGGCATGAATGGCATTTTTTTGGGCTGGATCTGTTTAACCATTCGTTTGGGGGATTTAGGGGGAATCATCTCTCGGAAAGGGAAACTGTGAAGATTTTCAGCTCACGAGTTGGGACACCATAAAAAGCAATCCATATGGCCTTAAATCCGACAGTCAACTCAGTTATTTCATTCACAAAACACCTATAACTCCAAATTTGTCTTGGTTAAGATTTCAATTTCTCACTTTGAATGCTTCGTTGTTCCCCTTTTTTGGTGAATCAAAACCTCTCTTTTCACGGTCCCAACGCACGGTCCGTGGTCACTGTGGACGCTTTTCGAGGCTTCTTGCGGAGGTGGGCGACGAGCTGCGAGGCCAAGTTGCTGGGTGTAGGGTGTAGGATATTGATGAGATATTGATGGGATATGGATTTATATGTGATAATAAGTCCATGTTTTTATGGGATATTGATGGATCTTATCACATATAAATCCATATAAATTAAATGATAGATGGGATAGATCATATACTTATGGTGAGAGAATGATAGATCATTAAGTCATGTTTGTTTTTTTTTAAAACTACTGAATCACCTGTAAGTAATGTTAGGACATGTTTGTTAATTTGCTTTTAAGTATTGTGGGTTTAGCGTGGGCATACCGGGAAATTCGATGTTTTTTTTTATTCATGTTCTCTTTTGAACTTGCCATCTGGGGAGGTAATGCGGTATACCACCGCTTTCAGACAAGCCTGTTAAGAAAAATCTGGATTTGGAATTTGGAAAACCTTGCATGACAATTCAAAGATGTCCTGGAAATTCCAGTGGTTTCATGATTTTTACGCCTCATAAAAAACCTATGTCCTAAATGGATGGTTCAGCCTGAGGTTCGACACCTTGTGGATGATCAAAAAAGCTGATGCCCAAATAATGCCATGGTAGTTTTAATGGCAAAGTTATGATGATCAAATCGATCAAATCTTGGGTGTTTACAGGAACTCAGATTTCCAACGCTTCTGAAGCCACTGAAAAAGAAGTTATGGCAGTTATGGAATGTCTAGTTGAGTCATTTCCCACATTTCCGGTTTCCAAGTCTCAAGTCGGGTCCGCTTTGCGCCAGCCATGGAATGTCTAGCTCAGAATGCTTGGCTCCCCGCGGACAAAACCCAATCATGAATTATTACCATAACCTATCATAACCTTCATAAACAACAGATCTCAAGAGAAGTCCTGGTCGTTTTGGGAACCAAGAGAAATCGCGCTCGATTTTTTTCGGAGTTGATAGACCTTTTCCAACACCTTCCAGGTCTCCTGGCTTCGCTGGGTCGGCTGCAACATGTGATCCTGGCCAAAGATAGCCGTGGAGCGCAGCTGACACAGGCGATTATGTAAGGGATTTTTCATAGTGATTCTTGAGCGATAGGGATAATGGGGGGGATTAAAATCAACAATTTTACGGGGATATAATGGAATTTCAATTGATATAATGAGATATCATAGGGTAAATATGAGGATATACATGTGATGCAATGGGATTGTTTGAAAGCATGGGGTAGCCTCTTTTCTGACCAACCCAAACGTACTGTGGATTCTAGCAACAAAGTTCGGGACTGAGGATGGCTTCAGGGAAAATGACTAGTGTTAATGTTCCAGTTGAACTCAGTCGAACATTATATATATTCAAAAATGGGTGAAATCATCAATTACAACCACAAATCATTACAAGCCCATCAAGCATATATATATATATATCATGATATATCTACTATAAACTCAAACAAAATTGGAATTATTTTCACCGACTAAGCGTTAACTGGGGCACTTCCTTGTACCAAGAACCATCTCGAGGGTATGCCAACATCCCGAATGACGTTGGGACGAGCTTTGGTGGCTTTGGGTCGCGGGATGGATCCGTTTTGATCTCTTTTTGGTGGAAACCCAACAAAAAAGCAGGCGGTATTTTCGTCCCATTCTCCTTTTTTTCGGACACATGCCATGATGCAAAATATTGACCATGACTGTTGTTGTTTTCAGTGAGGTTGAAACAAAGCCTGTTTTTGAAACAAAGCACATTTGCAGCTGGACAACCCCCATGAAGTGCCCATTTAGTTCAGGGATTTTGGGGATTTTCCAGCCGGCCATGTTTGAGGACACCGGAGGGTCCAAAACCCTAATGGCTGGTTTATATCCCATCATATCGCCGCTATATGATCAATAAATCTCCATTTATGGTTGGTTACAGGGACTCGTAGCATCCATTAACGATATAACACAGGTCGACATCCATGAACATCAGAAAATCCATGGAAAATTCCATTAACATCAATGGTTACCCTCTGGTAAACTAACATAGCTATGGAAAATCACCATTTTTAATGGGAATATCAACTATTTCGACTGGGCCATTTTCAATAGCAAACTGTTAGTTTACCAGAGGGTATGTACCTTTATTATCCATTAGAGTTTTTGGTTGGTCCAGATCACCACCAGGAGGAGCTGCAGCCCTTTCTGCAGGATCCGGTCCTCATCGACACAGGAGCCTGGGCTGGATCCTCTCCGGGGGACAGGGGCCCCCAAGATAGCTAAGTTGACATATGGCTGTGGCTGAATTCTACGGTTTATGGTAGATAAAGCATGATAAAGCTATAGTTCATGCGGATTATAGACAAACTTAGAACTACGGTGGCACCATTCACCATCCTGTGTATCCTTTACATATGCAATCATATGTCTATATATATATATGGGATTATATGGGGATTTCCTAAAATGGGGATACCCCGAGTCAGCATCCCAGTCATTAGACCAGTTTAGTATTGAAACCTGCCTTGGGAATCCCCGATTTTAAGCACCCCCCAGTATATATTAACCACTTTACTAACTGGGATGCACGTCCAAGCATGGAAACCAACCACTAGAAATTGGGGATTTCTCATATCAATGGTCATTCCAGGATCCTAAAATGGAGGTACGTTAGTAATTACCATATTTTTGGCCATATTCTGGGGGTATATCTTACATAGGCCTGAAAAATAGGCCAAAAATATATGGTAGGTCCCTCCAATTTAGGTTCCTGAAATGGCTGTTGATCATATCACTTACAGCTCCTGGCTAGGCCCCGGTCCCGCCACGTTGCATGCAGAGCACCTCTGCTGCGAACTGCCCACGAATGCGATGCGACGTGCCAGGCACCGCTCTGAGATTGCTGAAGCATCGAACGAAATGGGGGACTTTCCATGGTAAAAACCATCCCCAAGCTTCCATAAATGGGATTAATGTTTATAAAGGCATAGGGGACCCACCGTCCCCAAATAATAAACCTCATAATGGGCTGTTTATTATCGCGTAAAGCGAACACCACCAAAGTTTCTGACATTTCCCCAATAAACCTCACATTGGCATTTCTTTTACATAGCAAAAATTATTCTTCCTACGCCCCACCCAAAAGAAAGCACCTTTCTGGTGGATTTTTTGGGCCCCCTTTCTTGGACCGTCCCCAAAGTGGCCATCCCAAAATCCCAGTCCTTCGACACATTACACATTGGAAGAAATCACATCATGGGTTGAACTTTCCCATCCAAAGTCGGCAAAATTGCAAAACCATCGAGAAATTCTTTTTTTCCCCCAAAAAACCTATGGGTCTGTGGATTTTCAAAGGCTAAATGGCAGCTTTTTTCAGAGCCAGGCTTTTAGCCTTCCTGCTGGATGAGCGACTCAAGGACAGGTGGATCTTGGCCACCAAACGGACCCCGGATGTGTGGGCTATTGCTATTTGTTGATCATATCCATTCAGGTAAAGTGGGCCATTTCCCACTGATGAAATGATTCAACCATCTTTACAAAAGTCATTTGGTCAGGGTTCCGCAGATCTGTATGGCTTAAATTCCCGGACCTCACGTATGAGTGGTTTGATGGTTTGATCGCGGACCTGTCGTTGGCGAAAGCCATTGCCATATCCAAGTCCAATCTCTGGGACCCAGCTATTTGCAAGAGATTTTCGCACATTTTCAGGATAAAACTGGATTAGTGTTGGACTCACCCAAGCATAAACCGTCATCCGCAATAGAGATTTATGAAATTGGGTATCCCCCTATTTGGGACAACGTAAAACGTCCCCTAAAATGGTTGGTCAATGAGATTTTTTATTATTGGCTTTACCACATTAATGTCGGATTCAATGCCACAAACAACGAGCACATTTGGGGACGGTTTGAATCCCAACCATAAAAATGGTCAGTCCTTAGTCCTTGGGGACGGTGGCATTTGGTTTACCCCAAAAAGATAGACCTGAGTAAATTCCTACTAAAATAGTGTAACATATTAATGATAAAGTAGTAAAACATCGTGATTTTTAGTGCATGGTGTTGAAGCATGTTAAAACGTACTATTTTCTGCATCTTTTTTTGGGAGATACCAATGGCACCACACCATCTCTAGCATTGCACCACAGGGCGGCCTTCAATCCCGCAACGCAGCGAAGGTGGGGGAAAGGTTTGGCCTTTGGGTCCCAAAAAGAGGCCGAAAAAGGTATGAAACCAGGATGGTACAGGATGATGCCCCCCAGTGATGTGAATGTTGGTTTGTAAACCCCATTAACATCCATTAACTATAATAGTTCGTTATATCTACCATAAACAATAGTTAAGTAGGTTATAACCCTAGTTATTTCAGTGGATTAACCTTACTTATCCCACTGGAAAAACCAGGGAGAACTAACCTACAACCAGGATTCGTGGGATGAACCGCCACCAACTAGTTGGATTTTCTTCCCCATCAGTGCCAAGTTTCCAACTTCAGCATGTTTTCTGGGGGTGCCATAAATGAGAAAACTGCTCTTTCTTTTTGCGTTTTTTTTTTTTTCCAAATCATGACTGGGAGTTACCCTCCGGAAATCAAACATGGCGAACTGGACAATTCTCATAGAAATTTCGATGATTTTCCCAGCCACAAAGCGGAATTGTTGGGAGGGATTTCTCGACCAGCCATGTTTGATTAGCGACGGGTATTAAGATATTCTCATTAACGGGAGGCAATTTTTGGAAGTAACTGATACAACTGTTCCTCATTTGGATTTATTTGGGATGATCATCATGATACTTTGAGAAAATCCATGAATCAAATCCCAACGATCCCAAATCTGGGACATGATCCCGTTAACACTTAAGTTTTATCATGATTAATCCTTCGCCTTTTGGTGAAATACAAATTTTTGAAATGCCTTCAGCCTACTTCTAAAGGATTTTAAAAAATAAAAAAGCGAAATCCAGTCCAAAAAAAAGCAAAACCCAATCCAAACCTCAGTTAGAAAAAAGCAAAATAAAAACAAAACCCAATCCAAACTTAAATTAGAAAAAAAAGCAAAACAAGAAAAAACAACAGCAAAAACAAAGCCAAAAAAAAGCAAAAAAAGCAAAACCCAATCCAAACCTCAATTAGAAAAAAGCAAAGGAAAAAAGCAACACCAAAAGCAAAATAAAGCAAACTATGTGTTTTCACATTTTTTCGCTCTTTTTTCAATTCGTGTTTTTTTTTTTTCCGCCTTTGTTTTCGCATTTTTTTTTCGTTTTTTTTCTTTCTCAGGTGACCTGATGACTGGGACCTTCGAAAATGTACAAGACTTGTGGAAAAAAGAAACAAAAACAAAAAAAGCAAAAAAACACGAAAACAAGCAAAAAAAAGCGGAAAAAAGCGAACAAAATCGAAAACAAACAAAAACCAAGCGAAAAAAAATGAAAAAAAAGTGAAAACAAATAGTTTGTTTTTTTTGCTTTTGGTGTTGCCTTTTTTTTTTGCTTTTTTCTAATTTAGGTTTGGTTTGTTTTTTATTATTACTATTTTTTTGTTTCTTTCTAATTGAGGTTTGGATTGTTTTTTTCTTGCTTTTTTCGAATTGAGGTTTGGATTGGGTTTTACTTTTTTTTTGATTTGGTTTTGCTTTTTTTTAGTTCATTTTATTTTTCTATCGTTTTATAGAAGTTGCCTGTAAGCCGTGTCTCAAATCATGGTTGAATCCAAATTAGTTATGAACTGGTTGGTGGTTTGGAACATTTGGATAATTTTTCCATATGTTGGGAATAATAACCCCAACTGACTCAGATTTTTCAGAGGGGTAGGTATACCACCAACCAGTGAA